AGAGCACAGCCTATTTTTATACCTGACTGATACCTGACCAGCCAAAATCCCGGAAAACAAGACATGGGGGTTCGTTGTTTGGCCTCTTCATGCTCATGCTCAAACGGAGATGAGGTTTGGTCGAGATGAAATGTTCGACAATGTGATCGAGCGCGCGGTCGGGTGCGCTTCGACACAATCGAGCTTAGCGCGTGAGGTTCCCGAGCCGGTAGGCACCGTACTACGTACCCATAGTGCAACTTGAGCGTACTCAGTTTCAGGGAGTACGAAGTACCTTGACGCGATACATCAGCTCAGAACTGCTTCAATCCGCGCAACCAGCACCGGTCGCCGTTCGTCACACTTGTGCTTTTGTGCTTCAATTGCTTCAATGGTGCCTGAATCAGTATCTCCGAAAGCCACAATCCCACGAACACATGACAAAGGAATGAACGAAAGGATCTAGGTCCAGAACCTGGGCTCAGTTCGGTGTAGCCTTGATCAAGCGATCAATGTATCATGACTGTTGGATGTCTTGATCGCAAGTATTGGCTTCCATGGGACCCGGCGTTCTTATTTTGGATTTTGGCTTGATCCGGGAGACTGGTTCGCTTCCCGGGATCCAGCGCCGTGCTGTCGGTGACTGGAGTCTCGCATTATTACTTTTTATTTTTGGTCCAGTTGGTTCGGTTGATGCAGTTGGTGATGTTGGTTCATTAATGTCCACCGTTTCGACCTTTTCGTGCATGCAATTATTTGTGTTCGCAGCTCTTTGCGATGCACTGTCGACTTCAAGATGTGGGTTTTCAAATCTGCTAATTCAGATTCAGTGGTTGACGCCAGCAATTCAGCACACGGAGTCGTCGGGTCTTGGCGCTTGATCCTGAACTAGTCATTCGTACATGCAGGTTTTCGGTGTCTGCCGCAGGGCGATCCTTCGCGTGTGTCGCGCTGCTTCCCCGCAGATCACACTAAGAAGGCCGACCCTGGTCAGGGCAGAGACCTGAGTGCGGTGCCGCTTCTGCACGCACGGTTGCGGTCTGTCAACCCGCCTTTACGGAGTATCTCGTCTGGGCGTGGTCTCCATGGTGAAGGCTTCAATTCGATGATTTCACTCGTCTGGGCGTGGTCTCCACGGCGAAGGCTTCAATTCCATGATTTCACATACGAGCTGTGCAGCTTCTTCCGACGAGAAATACTCGCCACGGATACATTAGGACGGTGGTGTTGACCAGAAACGGTACAGCTGCCTTATGCGGGTGTGTCAGGATTCAGGAGCCAGTGATGCGCTGTCTTGCCGCGGACCAAAAGGCCAATTCCGTACCTAATGCTTTGGAAGCGGCTCCTATTGATTTGGGACCAGAGCGTGCAGGAATCTCGCAAGTTTCGGCCCATTGCCGGCAGCAATGGTGCGCTTGCGACCCTCCCAACTTCTATCAGCCTGACGCAACGTTCTCTTCCATGGTCCTTCTCTCACGAGGGGCAGACAGGGCAGGGCAACCGGAGCCGAGCCATGCCCTCAATGCAGAGAGAGCACACAGGTCGGAAGAGACGTGTGCACAATGAATGACTACAATTCGCCCGCCCGCATGATTTTATCTCTAATGCAACTCCGTCACAGGCAGTCGGTGTGCCGTATCTCGTGATTGATTCTAAATAAAGACCTTCACGCGTAGGCGCATCAAGACGTACCGGCTCGCCCATTTTGGCCATGTCATAGGCCGGCTACATGCGTCGCATGGCCAATGAAGGGCAGCAATCCGCTTATTCGCAAGACGATAGTGTTGTGGCGGTAAGGGGGTGCGAGCCGGGCGACAAAAAGGATTTGTTGACGGCTCGACAACTTGCGACAAGCGCTATGCGTTCGCCCACACAAGCCCAGGTTCAAGGCTCGAAAATAAGTTCAGAAGCACTCGAAGGCGAGCGACGCCAAGGATGATAAAATCTGATGAGCGTGGAGACCCTGACACCACGAGACAGAAAGACTTGGCCCAGGGTTCGATTGCTAAATATATCCTTGCTTGGTGATAATGGCTCCACTATACTGCGAGCTTGACGATTATGTGCAGTCACTACCACCATATGGGCACCAGCCTGGGTCTATGTCGCACATCGCTGACATCGGTTCCAGTGAAGCCAAATCCAACAAGATCAGTTCGTTTCAGTGCAACGGGCTACGCCTTCCGCTAGGTGACCTATCAGCCAGTCGCAGAGGTGTGCGATACCTACTGACCGTCACCAAAATTTCCGAAACCTCCGGACTAGATACGCAAATACGTTAGACAGAAAAACGGTTGCCCAAACGGCACAAGACTTGCAACATGGATCGTCTTCCAAGGCAGGGGCACTCTTCGGAAGGGTGGAGGAACCAACCACCGCAACCACCACCCTCCATCGCGGCAACCGCATTTGCGGATCATGTACGAAGTTTGTTGGCGGCACATCCGGGAAAAAAGCAAGGCTGTTTTTCTACTTCAAGATTGGCATCAAGATGAAGCGTTTATTGTGTGCAGGCTCACTTTGGCGGACGCGTGGATTACTAGTACGACTCCAATTGTGAAAATGTTGTTCAATGCTTCTACCCAATCGCACAGCCGCTCCGCCTCTGAGAGCAGCCGAGCTCAGGAGCGGCTATGTTTTGCCCCGGTTTGGAGGTCGGTGCGTGGGTGCGGGTAATACGAGACAGACAATTTGTGACGACGACGTCGTCGTATACATTACGCTAGCTAGAAAGCGACGACTTGCTCCGTTAGGCGCAGGCGCTCGCCGTGCTTCGAAGTTCTGAAGGGCAGTTAAACATCACACGGTCGCGCCAAATTGCTCTGCATCGTACCCCTGTGGGCAGCTCTCATTGGCCGCGGCGGAAAAGACACCTCGCTCACTTGCTCCGTCACTCGACCCGCCGGCAATGCTCAATCTGCTGGGCTGTCTGGTTGGAGGAAGGGATCGGCTGCAGTACCTTGCGAGAGGGCCTGCCTGGACGATGACAACATATCGAGCGGGCATCATTTCGCAACAGCCGTGCCGCTGAGGCGCTTCACCGCGTTCTCCTAAATACCCTTCGGGCAGCGCTCAGCCGTACCAACCGCAGATGATATTGAATGTATGCTTACGCTGGGCCAGGGCTCAATCGAATTGCTGTTCTAATCTAGGCTGATGATTGTTGGCGGTTGGGCTCTTTATAGTCGACTCCATTCATGGTAGGATAGTCCCCATGGGGTTAGTCTGGCTGGGAAGGAGACGGCAACACCGGTCAACGAACTTCCATCGCGTCTGGGGTGTATAGTCACAGTTGGACGTTAAAACTAAAACTGATGGCCTCGTGCGTGCAGTACCCAGGTACGCATGACGGGCCGAAAGGTTTTGCGCCTATCACAATGCGGGTGCGGAACAAGCGCAAGCAGCAAATGGGCATCGGTCATAATCAAACCACGGCGAGACGTCGCCGGTGCTACGTTATTAGAGGGGCTGGCAAAGGTGGTATTGATGCGCCTGCGGAGGTCGGCCAGCAGATCGACGCTCTCTTGCCCGTCCAAAAGTCCAGACTATTTTGGAGCGATGAGGTTAGACTATCACGGTATTAACGGCCCCCAACATCTAATCATCTAATGCCCTGGTCGGCGTTGCTTTGTTGGTGAGAGATGTGAAGTATAATCCCGGCGGCTGATGTCAAGCAAGCTAAGGTAAGCAAGCAGTTGTCGCATGTTGTTCGCCTTGGCCACAGTGCACTCCACGTAATTCATCGCGGCAACCATATCTAGCAATGCGGTGCAGTGCCGCCCGCCCAGTAGCATCCCGCCGCCACGGCGCGAAAGTTTTGGGCGCGAATGGGAACATGGACAAAAACCTCAAAAAATAAATAAAAATTTGTGTCAACGCAAGCTGCGAAGGGTCAAATATTCCGTCGGCTGTCTGTGGACGACGAGGTACCTTGGCTCTCACTGGGCGGGTCGAAGAGGATGCAGCGACCCCTGCTCCTCGTCGACGTCCTGTGCCTAACCCCGGTCGTGCCCCTCCACCCAGTACAGCGTGTCCGCAATTCTCGAGGTACATCTGCGTTCAGTACTCACTGGGCCTGCGAGGGTCTGCGAAGCGCCATGCCGCCAATATTGGGGCTACATCCAGGGTTTAGCGATCGATCTGGTACAAAACTATCGAGGCACCCGTCGAGGCACACATGCATTAAGTCGTCTTGCAATTTATTGCTTGCCTGACTACCTCGGACGTGCGTTGAGAGTGCGCTTCACTACCTCTGCCAGACAGACAGGACAGGCCCTTACATCGGGGAGGATCACACCCAAACTCACCGACCCCGTCCAAGTCACGATTCTCTCACCACCCAATTCTGACTTCCAGGCGCTGAGGCATGAGGTGAAGAAGAAGAAGCAAAACGACCTTGCGACCTGCTAGAACTTTTGTGTTTTTGTTTGCCCTTCGAGATCGTCATCCCAAGGAGGCAGCCCAAATCGTTCTTTTGAGATTACAACAGCCGCAGCATAATCGCGCGTTAATTCCCCAAGCGCCCGCTTTTCGCACAACTCCCGGGGCGGAGTTGGAACTTTGGAAGCAACAACAACAATAACAACGACGACCACCACCATCAGGTAGCAGAGAGGGTCAATCGCGAGGCGGTGACTCGAGGATTAATAAGTCGTGGGCCGGATCTTACGACCATTGAACAGCATTCGTGTACGGTTTCCTGAACCGCTGGTAACGAAAAAGAGAGAGAGAGAGAGAGAGCGAGCTAGAAATATCGTTATTGGGGCAACGAACGCACTGGAAATCGATCACGGCCGCACAGCCGCTCCAAGTCTCACGTAGACACAAAAGCGGCTCGCTCCCGCACATCCCATCCCCGCTCGTTTCAACAGCACAACCCAGCCCATAAATTTGAAGCTCGCAATCGGTTCGCGCGCATCCTGCTATTCCGCAACGCGCTTCCTGCTCATCCTAGCTACGCCAACCTCCAATTTACTTGGACAGCGAGGCCAGCGGAATTTCGCCAACTTTCGAGTCTCGCGACTCGACCCGGCAGTTGACTGGCCGCATCTGGCTCTGTTTCACACCTAGCCAGCCAGCGGAATTGAGGCCCAAGGCAACAACGCGCAAACGCGCGGCAGGGATGCCATTCGCGAAACCACATCGAGGATTTTCGCTCTAGCCCAATTGTGATTCCGGCGCGCATCACGGCTTTATGAAATCCCAGGCTGACTGGACCGATTCTGCCGGGCAACCTTCGCTCGCAACCCAATACGGTCAACGCGCCATGACGACCTTCACGGCGTTGAATGGAGGAGAGCAGAAGCCATTGGGGAACCCAACTGGCAGCCCCACCAGGCGCTCAGGATCAGAAGAAAGACCTAGTGGTCCAGCGCCCTCAGGCCCAGAACCCAAGATTTCCAACGAGGTCTCTTCCAACCAGCGCGAGCACTGGTCAGTGCCCGCATCTGAGAGACCGCCCTACCAGTCTGCCGGGTATCCCGAGGTCGATGGTACCCACAAGCGCAAACGCTCCGATTCGGCCGAGCCCCGAAGGGAAGCCCCCAACGCGCCGGAAGAACGGGCTGCTGGCCACCAGTCTCAACCGGAATCACGTGATGCGTATGGGACTCCGCAAAGAGACCGCGACTACCGGCCGTATGGTGATGAAATTCGGGAGCAGAGCGAGTCGTGGTACTCGCAGCAGCAGAGAGAGGACCGGAATGCCTACGACCAGCAAAACTCTGCAGGGTCGATGCCATCACAGACCGACGAGCAGATCGGGGATGCTCTGCGGAGAGCCACTGGTGAGGCTTACTCACCAACGAGCCCTGACGGTGATGATTACTACGGAGGCTCATACACTCCCGAGCATCGGAGGGATGGCTCGATAATTCAGTCGGATCCGAAAAAGCGAAAGCGCAACTTCAGCAACAGAACCAAGACCGGTTGTCTGACGTGTCGCAAGAGGAAGAAGAAGTGTGACGAAACCAAGCCCGAATGTGAGTTCTTCCCACCCGCATCTTACTCTGCACGTGAGAATTGACTTAAGCCCACAGGTAACAACTGCTTGCGTGGGGGCTTCATCTGCCAAGGATACCCCAATCAACGGGGTTACCAAAAGATGGAAAACAAGTCGTCCGCGGTGCCTCTGGAGTCGAAGGATCCTAGCTATATTCCTCCCGGTGCTTATGGAATGCCCCAGTCTCAGGCACCGTACCCAAATCAACCGCCAGCGCCTCCATACCGGGGCCAACCTCTGCGTATAGACCCACCACAGGGCCGGCCAGTCCTGACCGACGATGATCGAGCAACGGCGTCGACCATCCCTACGGCCTCGGTGGCAAGTCCAGACAACAAGCTTTCCGCCATGTCCGCCTATGCCAACGCCGCAAACGTGTTTCCGACCCCCATCAGTGCCATCAGCTCCGCAACGACCAACTTTGGAGAGCAGCGGGGACTGCAGAAGGACTACCAAAGAATACCTCCTCTGCACGATGCGGGCCGCAATGAACCAGAAACACCGCATCCCGGGAGCACATTACCACAAATCAACATCCTCCACCCGACTCGGACAAGCAGCCCGGTAACTCAACCTCAGACGACCAGCGCTCAGGTTGCCGCCCAGCTCGCCCTATCTCATAGTCATTTCCCTCCCGCCAGGCAACCAACGCAAAAGGAGTTGATGCTTCAGGGACAGATGTACAGATCTTTTGACAAGGAGCTCGTTCTCGAGCGCGAGCGGTGCAGTGGCGCCTGCTGGAGATTCAACAACTCGACCAATCCGAATACGGGCGTTTCGAGTGCCGAGCGAGGGCGGCTTTTCCGTGAGATCTTGATGCCAAAGGACCCAATCAACCTTTCACCGTCCCAGCAGTCGCCCGTGTCGAACATCGGCCGTATTGGCGGGGAGTGCGTGGTGGAATCCCCTTTCACTTGCGACTATGGCTACAACATCACCATCGGCCAGAACGTCTTCATCGGCCGAAATTGCACCATCGTCGATCCCTGTCCGATCAAGATAGGCAACAATGTCTACATCGGCCCCAATGTCAGCCTCTTTGCTGCCACCCTTCAAACGGATCCGAGCAAGCGTATGGGTAGCAAGAGTCTCCAAATGGGCAGCACCATTTTCATCGATGACGACGCATGGATTGGTGGCGGTGTCATTATTCTCCCGGGCCGCAGAGTGGGCAAGGGTGCTACTGTCGCCGCTGGGTCGATCGTTACTCGCGTAAGTTTTCATGACTTTTCCTTCGGAAACATGCCCGCTAACCAGATTTTTAGGACGTCCCACCCTTTACCATCGTGGGCGGCAACCCTGCTCGCGTGATGCGAGGTGTTGCCACGGGGTAATCGTAAGAGCTTTGAGAAGGACAACATCCCTTCTGTCTCATAGTCGTTTCTCACGTTTGTTTGTGATCAGTTGTGATACCCATGATCGTCGTTGTTGCCTGTATAAATACCGCTTTTTTCCAAGTCGTGTCTTTTCCTCATCATTTTTCGGGCGTTTTACTCATATAAAGCGCGGGGGCCGATCTTTTTTGTCTTTTTTCATCAGCGGTAGCGGGGCTAGATCATGTCATTTCCATTGTTTCTTTTCGCGGAGGAATTAAAATTCGGCAATTGGAAATTATACAGAAGGGACACAATTATACATGGAGGACACACACACACACACACACGTATATATATATATTTTGGAGGGGTCGGCGTGGCCTATATACCCTATGTGCATGAGGGGGGCATGATTATAGGGACAAACAGCTCTGGAAGCTAATTACATATGGGTCTGGATGATGAAGGATCGGATCTGATCACGATTATACGATCACAATGGATCTTGCACCTGCTGCCTTTTCTTTCATACCCCTTTGTGTTTGCCATTTTCATGTTTCTGAAGCCCGCCTGCCTAGTCGCCCGAGATTATTTGGCTCGGGCGTGTGCGACTTGACGAGACCACGGCTTTTTTATTCGCGATTATACGACGGTCAATGCCTCCTAGCATACATATGTAGTGACGATAGCGTACTTCAGTTTGTGAAGAGGGATGCGATAGTAACAAATGGATACGACATATTCTTACAGACGACTTTGGTTTGATTCCTCTTCAGTAATCTTCAAGCCGTGGAATTTGGCGTTAAAACTGCATGAAGCATATAGTACAAGGTAAGGCGAGGAATCCCCGACCGAACTGGTATAGATAGGTATTGACCACGGACGTGGAGTGGCATCATGGTGGGTTACCGCTCCCCGTGTTGTGTTCCATTTTGGAGACGACTGAAGCACTGGGCAACAACCACCTCCCGATCTTGGCTGTGAGTTTGCGAGGTCTCTGTGCAAGGTAACCCGGTCATTCGCATCCTGTTCTGGGGGGCTGTGGATCCGGGAGGATAGCCGATCACGTTCTTCATCAATACACCGCTTCGCATTGAGTTTGACGAAGCATGCACGTTGCGTTCCTCACTAGGTAGATGGTCAATATCTGCAATTCGAGAATTCGATGGTAAGCCAAGTCAGCAGAGAACAAGCTTGAGACGCCGTGAGTGCGAAGGTGAGGCTCCATTCGGAAACCCCAAAGGTCCGGAAATACGATCTTATCTCCCGTCGGATCTGCCTTTTGTATGGCTTTCGTGCTCTTGTTGTAAGTACTGCCGGGTATTGTTGGCCAACATACCCCACAGACTGCCCAGTTGGCCAATGAAAAGGGCGCTTTTGGAAAGGCTATCGAAACATTTTGCTCTGCCGTTTGCATTGTTTAGGCTTAGCCCCACCTTTAGGTACATCCGCGACTTCGTCGAAATGCTCAGCCCCAGTTTGCCGAACGCGACATTCAGCCCCCAACACGTCGTCTCACCCAACGGAGTTGGAGGACCCGCGTTTTCAGTCTACGGACATATGGACCACGACGATACCGAGCAAGACCGATGACTTGAACAACCCATCAGAACCACCACCAACCCTGCGAGCATCCGGCCGGAAGCAATTTCTGTTGCGTCGCTTCCTCGCCGGGAACAATTGGCGACGGGCTTCCCGCCAGCTGACTTGGAGCGCAGCGGATAACGCCTTCACTGCGCAATTGCGTATGCGTGTCCCCCTCATTGCAAACTTGAGGTTATCGCCGTAGCCTCCGAGATGGACGGTGGTCGACCTGCCGGCGGCTACCAGACCAGCGTCTTTCGCGCGCAGCCAAGTGAGAATCACGAGCGCAAAATTCAACGCAGGAATCGTCCACCTGTGTCTTGTTCTCTTTGTCGGACTAGAAAGGTGAGTGCCATCAGGACTGGCGACCCGCAGCACGGCTAAAATAAAAGCCGCTGACGCATCTGGACCTGCCCCCGAGACATATCTACTGCGTCTCATCGGCCCCGGACAACTGGAACGAACTAGTCATGGGATTAGTTCTCCAGTGTAAGGAGGAAATTTACATCCGCTGCCATATCCCAGGTCGTCATGTCGCGCTCATTCTATTTTTGGTCGCTCAGATCGGTCTTGGACACAAATTGCTAACATCGGCTTCAGGTAAAATGCGATAGACAGCAGCCATGTGAGAGATGCGTCAAAAGCGGTGAGGCTGCTTTTTGCGAGTATACTCCTCGGGCTGCTCGAAAGCCTCGGGCAGAAAGTCGGCCGGCTGGACAGCCTGACGTCCGTCCTAGACATGAGGCATTGTCTAGGTGAGTTTTCGGAGACGTCGCTTTCCTTTTACGAACTGCGTACGGCGCAGCCCCTCACATCCGGGATCAAGAGTATTCTTCTGAGCGGGCTTGATCATAATCTGACACCAACGTATTGTTCTCCTCCTCTTAACCGTAACTGTGACTGACTTCGTACCAACCAGACCGGTACTCCAGATTCGGCTTCAAAAACTGGAAGATATGGTTAGTGGACTTGTATACAGCACGCATGCTCCAACCGCATCGGATACTCCGTCAAGCTCAGATCCACTGAACGACGGAGAGCGCTCCGACCTAAGCCCGCCTCCTAGCACGTTGGGGGCAACTCCAACGTCCGCGGCCGGAGGTCCACTCACGACTCAAGGAAGCGACAGCTACGTCGGTCCTACCCACTGGGCTTCCATTCTCGAAAGTATCCATGATATCCGAGGACTCATTGACACCGAGGTGGAGGATCACCCAACCCCTGAGCCTCCCTCGCACATGCATACCTCGAACAACGACATTACATTTGGGCCTTGCGCTCCCGTGACCATGGAACAGGCAGTCGCTCGACTGCCTCCCAAGAACTGGACCGATAGGCTGGTCTTTCTTTACTTTGGATCGAGGTTCACAGCTGCCCCGTACATACACACGTCCAAATTCCAAAGAGAATATGATGGATTCTGGCGCGATCCATCATCAGTCAGTCTCCTCTGGGTGAGCATTCTCGCATCGATATTATTCGTAGCATCTTCCATCTCCATCGTGAAGGGCGAAGACATTACCAAGGAGACAGACGCGGCACACCCAGACAGATTGGCAGACCTCGCCAAGGACTGCTTGGTCGCTGGGGACTACCTTTCTGCAAAGCCTTATTCGATTGAGGCTTTGTTGCTCCAAGGTTACACGGAGCTTCAAAGGAGGCGAGAGTGCGACTCAAGCTTGTGGGCCAAGTTTGGACTCCTCGTACGCCTAGCCCAGCGCATGGGGTACCATAGAGATCCCAAGTATCTCCCGAAGGTGACACCCTTTGAAGGCGAACTTCGCCGCCGTGCGTGGTTCTTCATTGAGGTCTTTGACTGCCTCTTCTCTTTCCAGCTTGGGATGCCACCAATTGTGCGTGACGATGAGTGTGACACCGAGTCGCCGGGCAATTTGATTGATTTGGACTTTGACGAGAACGCCATGGCACTCCCGCCGCCACGCCCGCTCACGGAGACAACTTCAACGCTTTACCTCAGCTACAAGTCGAAGCTATGCCGAAAACTCCGGCGCGCCATACGCTACGCCCTTCTCATCCAACCACCACCCTATGAAGAAATTCTCAAGCTTAACAACGAGATCCACCAATATCACGACCAAATCCCGTCGAACCTGAGAATAAGGCCTGTTCGGTCGTACAGTTTCACGGACCAGAGCTTTGACATCCTACATCGGCTGATGCTGGAGTTAATGTATTTGAAAAGTCTATGTGTACTGCATAGAAAATACCTCAACAGCGAAAATGACAATCCGAGGTACAACCTGTCGCGGAGTACTTGCGTTGATGCCGCACTGCGGATTCTGGACCTGCATGCTGAATACGAGGAGGAAAGCCGCCCAGGGGGCAGGCTGTACGACGACAAGCACATGCTCTCAAGTCTGAGCCTGCACGACTTCTTGCTAGCATCCATGATTCTGTGCCTCGACCTGACAGAAACTGTTGCACCCAGGTAAGCCGCTTTTTCGTACGCTTCAAATATGATGATCTCTAACCTCGATCCAGCCATGCGGACCGCTCGAGAAAACTGAAGGCGTTGGGGACATCGTATAAGATCTGGTCTGAAAAGAAGCACATCTCCCACGACGCGGCCCATGCCACGCGAGTAATGGGTGCCATCCTCCGGAGAGTGTCCATGCAAGAGGCAAAGACGCCTGCCGCACCACCGCGACCTCCACAACCCGAAGTGCGAGACGGCTCGTTGGCAAGTTTGCTCAACAACGATACCCAGCCACCTCCAATGATGAGTACCCCGATAGTCGATCAGTCGCAATTGATATCTGCCATGGATTTTTCGCTTGATGGCCTGGACTCGATACCATTGGATAGTGTAATGAGCGATCCGAGCCAATATGACTGGGTAAGAATGATAAAAGTGTCCACAGCTGTGGGAAAAACAAGGCTAATGGTGATTTCGCAGAACGTGATTGATCAATACCTGCTCAGTGGCCCTGGGGTTCCCTAGGTGGAACTTGTGGATTGCAAGTGCGCCTTGAATGGGGCCATTGGAGATGGGAAACTTCTTGTCGACAGCGTTTTTCTTCCCCGTGAGATGAAAACCCCAAAATGGAGTAAGAGTCCGATCAGGGGCATAGACTTTGACCGATCCCATGTGCAGTGGGAGGCGTGTTTTGGACGTATCACATGCGTGTGGTACATTCGGAAAAGCAAAGGTGGGCCTGCTCTCGATATAACCTGCGGAGCGTCAATGTGACAAGAAAGCCATTATTTTCGTACACTTAGTAAATGCGGCGGTTGAGCCGTACTGGCACCGTAGTCATCCATTTCCGTTGGGGCGACCATCCACGAGACTGTATGCTCGTGTTCTGGATCGGGTTACATGGTGCCTAGAAAAATGTCAACTATATCTCGAGACTGATGTGTTCAAAGGAGCGTTTCCATACCTTGTACATGGACCCTTCGCCATGACGCCGTTTTTGCACCATTTGAATATAATGCAAGTACTCCCCATGAGTGGCCCCTATCAAGGACGTCGTGAAAGCACCGATCCCAGTGCTTGATTGACACGGGTACATCTACTAATACGAGGTCGTTTCAGCCCATGCTCGTTTCTGCTGGACAAGAATCCCCTGGGAAATTCCTCGCATCCGTTGTCCTGGTCTTCTGGAATGGCCAAATGTCGTCATGGCACTGCTATTAATCACGTGGCGTAAGCGGAGGACCTTCCAGAACATACATACTCGTGGGAAAAGTCCCTCGATACTTGAAATCATGAGCCTTAGGCATCGAGACGGTACACTACCAAGAAAAAGAACAGGAGCAACATATCCTGTCTTGGCTGAAACGTTAAGGTGCTACATGAGGCCGATTCTCCTGTCGTGTCTAGACGAAGCAGCTTGGTTGTAGTCGGTGAGGTAGGTGAGGCACAATCATGCATCAAAGGGCACATGGCTAAACGTATAATTCATGACTATAAATGTGGGCAGGCTCAAGTTGTATCCATCTTGTCCTCCGCAACTTCTTGCTTGACGCCAGCATCTCCATTCTGCCCTGCCTGCTGCGCACCGTCAGCTGCATCTGCCTTGGCACTCTCTGTTGCTGGTGCGCCAGCCTTCGCCGCCTCATCTGCGCCCCCCTTTTTCTCAGGTTCCGCCGGTGCATTCCGCTTCTCCCTGTCCGCCTTCTTGACCTGCTCGACCTTGATGTCGGCATCAAGCTTGTCGCCAACTTTCTTAAGGTCCAAAAGGATGACAATTTGATTGAGCAGTTTCTCCATTTGGTCCACAACGGCTTTGGTCGGCATGTTCAACCTCGCCGGAACGTCCAGTTCCGCCAGAGTGTTGATGATGCGCTGATGCTGAGCGTTCGACTTGGTGGTAAGTATCTTGTTGATGCGCTCGAATCGGAACGTAGGTCCACTAGACAAACGATCATGATTGGATACGCCATATATCTGCTCTTCCTGCTCTGTGAGCTTCCTGCGTTCGGGCTGCTGGGGCCCTTTCTTGGCCGGCCGTTCAGGACGAGACGACTCTCCAATAGAATCGCGGTGCGTGGATGCGGCAATGCTCTCACGACGATGATCCGAGATAGGGGTGGAGCCTGGATGCGCAGATGGACCTGCCGAGGCGGGCGTGTTCACCTCGGTGCCTGCCAACGATTTCCTCTTCTTCGACTTGTCGACATTCATGAGCGTTTGAAGGAGGTTCTGCAGGCCCATGCTGGTCTTGAACGAGCTGAGATCTTGCGTTGTCTCAGACTGAGGATAATCCAGGCGATTGTACAGCTCGCGGCGCTCTTGGTTGAACTTCTCTGTGCGGGCCAGTATGCGCCTGACTTCGATGAGCAGAGACTCTTCCTCCTTGATCTCCTCCTTAGAGCGACCCAGCAGGCTCTGAGCATACGCCTTGCGTTTGGTCTCATCACCTGGTCTGAAGTTGACCATGGTCTCGTGCAGGCTGAACTCGGCCGCGTTCATGTACTGAACTGGTCTCTGAACTGCCATCATCTTGGCTGCGACTTCGTAGTATCGTGCCTTCAGGTCCTCCATAGTTCGGATCTTGGGCGTTGGCACAACAGCCGAATTAGGATCTGCGTCACTCTCCCCTTCGCCTGAACCTTGGCCTGAAGGTACAAGCATCTTTAGCGCATAGTCATAGCGGTCCCATACCAGCGGCCATCTCAGATCGAATTTCTTGCAAGTCTCCATGAGATAATCGGTCTCGTCCTTGGTCCAATCTTTGTTGGTCAGTGTTGCATTGTACTGATCGTCGCTGTACTGCGGAACATTGACCGAGACGTTGAATTTTGCAAATTCCGAATCTTCAATCTCCTCCGACTGCTTCTCTGCTGTTGCTTCGTGCTCGTTGGCCGGTCCATCCTGGCCTGACGATTTGTCTGCCTCTCGTTTCCAGTGTTTCAAAAGCAGTCCGTCGCCGCGGGCCGAATTTCGGAACGGTGCCAACTTCCATCGCGCAGCAGGTTTGCGGCTTCCGAGTCGACGTTTTTTGAAGCTCGAGATTTCGGGGACGATGGCGATGGGATTGTCGCCTCCGAGGTTCTGGACTTCGCGTGCGAGGCCCTTTAAGTTGGGCCTCGAAGCAGCCGTCTTCTGCCTCTTCGCAGGTCGCGGTCGATCCTCAACAGACAAGTTCAGGACGTCGCGTACATCTGATGACATTTTGGCGATGTGTTCGATAAAAGAAATGCTGGTTCAGGTAAGTGAAAAATGATCCAAGAATCGGCATCGAATTGGAGAACCTGAGGCTTGGAGACGCGATGCGCACGGACCATGCATTTAAAGTCTACGGAACTCGGCAGAGGGAGCTGACGACATTGTTCATCAATATTTGCAACCGAGAAACACAGCAGTCTTCTTCTCAAAAGAAACTGGAGGTAATGGAAATGGAAATGGATCCAAAGTTCATGTTGTTCTTGAATATCACAGGCACTTAAACAGCATCGATGATAGTAATTGCTAGTGGATTACTTACCCAGTATCGAGGGGTTCTGGGTGCAATCATCGATGCCCACATAAACCACATACCTCAATAGGATGATTAGATACACAGACAACAACGAAGCTCGAGTATTCCGAAGTTTTTAATAAGTTTTTTGGGGGTACTATCTCCACGTTGCGTTGTTGATGTATTATTTGCGTCTCAACGAGTTTGATGGGTCTAAGAATTAATACTGCAATATCTACATGTGAAGAACTGAGGCTAGAGCTCGGGCCACATAGTGCATACAGATACAGGCCCCCTGGCTCCATTGATTTTTTGAACGTGGCTACTCTAGAAACCAGATCGACACGCCCGTCGATACAGCTGCATCCTGGGCTCTAGCTCAAGCAACGAAGCTTCATTCCACGAGTCTCAACAGCTCGCCCTCCACGCGCCCCTTGCGAATTCACAGCAGCTTGGATACAAAGCTCGGACTACAGTTGGGAGACGTAAACCATTTCAAAGCAAGCATGAGGGCGATTCTTCCCCTCTTGTCGCTGAGCTCCGTCGCTCAAGCGCTATACTTCTACATTGATGGCTCCAACCCGAAATGCTTCTACGAGGACCTGCCCAAGGACACGCTGGTAGTCGGCCACTACGAGGCGCAAGAGTGGGACAATAATATCGGAAAATGGGCAAGACACGACGGCATCAGCATCTACATCTCAGTCGATGTTCGTCAGCCCCCCTCCTCCCCCCCCCTTCCTACCTGTCCTTGATAAACCCAGTCCGCGTCCAAAAACCTACTTCTAACACTGCATTCTCCGCGCAACAGGAAACCTTCGACAATGACCACCGCGTAGTCAACCAGAAGGGCTCGGCCAGCGGACGCTTCACCTTCACAGCGGCGGCGGGAGGCGACCACAAGATCTGCTTCACGCCGTCGTCCAACTCGGGCAGGCAGAACTGGCTGAGCGTGCTGACGCCCAACGGCGGCATCAAGCTCAGCCTCGACATGGCCATTGGCGAGACGAGCGAGATTGAGAGCACCGACAAGAGCAAGTTGGAGGACATTTCGCAGCGCGTCAAGGACTTGAACAGCAGGTTGCAGGATATCAGGCGAGAGCAGGTTTTCCAGCGGGTAAGTGGACGGCCGCATCCACTGCTGTGCCAAGGTAACCAGGCTGACGATTTCTACTTCGACAGGAACGAGAAGCCGAGTTTAGAGATCAGTCCGAGTCCACAAACTCGCGCGTCGTGCGGTGGATGTTTATCCAAGTCTTGGTCCTCGGAATTACTTGCGTGTGGCAGCTATCGCATCTTCGGTCTTTCTTCATCAAGCAGAAGCTTACCTAAGCTGCCTCCATGAACGCTTATACGAGAAGGCTGTAAAGTAGGAAGCACAGCATGCTGGAACTTACGGAGTCTCCTCCTGGACGGGCAGCTCCTTGTAATGATACATTGTGGAAATGAATAAGAACTGGCACATGAGCATTCTACTAGAGTATGAGCGTCCCGCGGTCTTTCTGAAGCAGGTTTGCATGAGGGTGTTGGTAGTGCAAAACCGGATATTGCGAATTGAACTATCTTGAGTCGGTAGGAAGTAATGCTCTGCTTGACACTAGAAATATCTTGTGTCGACAGCTAGCCATATTATCCCTAACATTTCCCTATCAGAATCCCCACCCGGTATCAGTATAACGTGTACTTACCATATATGGTTGACAGTCGCGCTCAGCAAAAGTCCAAGAACCCAATGCTCTCGAGCCCAATCCTGAGCTTCGTCTTGTCTTCCATCATCTCCGCGATCAACTTGCGAAGCCTTCGCTTCTGCTCTTCCGCCGGCCCGATATTTTCGTCATGGGGATCGTTCAATTTCGCATTGAGCGAGGACGCCAGCTGCACCTTGGCCTTGTATATGTGCCGGTCCGCCAGGCCTGCAGCGAGTCTGGCAGCCTCCTTTATGTTGTCACGCAGCCTTGTCTTGATCTCATCTTTGTCCTTTTTCTATACGTGGCAACATGACATCAGCATCTCTCTCGGTATATTGTTGGGCTATTGGACTTTCTCAGGGAGTCCAGGAAGAACCTGTAATGAGTAGGCGGTTTCATGGGAAATACGGGGGCCAAGAAGTCACGAACCTCGTACAACTCCACGGCGCCAAGCTCGATTTCCATCCAGATCTTAATTATATTCTTTCTGAGCTCGTAATGCTTGTCCATGTGTTCAGTGACCCTGTGGATCGGCTGAACGTGGTTTGTGGACATGATGATAAACGCGAGTGATGAAGGATGCTTGGTGCAAATATTTGGATTTGGGTAATTGAATTAGTGGACTCCAGGACTTCGAGTCCAGAAGCTCAACTTTGCGAGGCTTATACAAGGAGGGTAGATTCGAATTGCCCGAGCGATTCTTGCCTCGACGCCGTACCATGGTCCATTCCCACATACTCGCTCGCGCCTGCTGGGTACGGGAAATGGAAGGAGCTTCGGGATCTTTTCCTGGTTGATGCAAACAGCTGCGGAAGGTCTAGTAAAACAGTTGGGGGTTTGCAAAATTCCGACGTCTTAAAACAGGACCTTTCACTTCTCACTTCTGACTGGGTTCTTCCATGAGGGTAATAAGAAAGGAGGGCACTCCACCAGACGCAGTCGGCCAGCTCTTGCATGTTTACCAAGGCCTCCGGGGAGGAGAAACATAACAGTCCTTTGTCCCACTTTGGTAAACTTGTTCAAAAATAACTGACTGTGAAGTACTGGCTCGTGGTCTCCAAATACGTCGTCAATCATATCCCGGCACCCGCTCTTCATTGAGATTTTCTGCCTCTTTAAAAACGGCATATCTGCAGGCATAACGATCTTCATGGCCGAGTCGCAAACAACCTTTCACAGAGCAGCGAGTGCTATACTCTAGCATGCTCGTCAAACTTGTACCTAAGAGGAGTCCAGGCTCTGCGTTTTACAAGGGAGACGTTATACTAACGGGAGATCAAGAGCGAAGCTGGGCGACGATCGTTTGTCGATATCTTGACGTACTTAACTTACTCCCCTCAATAGTTTTTTATTGCCCTTTAGACGTAAATAGAAGCAGAGTTTCGAGCTCCTGGAGAACAGTTAACAAGTGGATCAAGTTCTATACCCAATAAACTTGTGATCCAGTTTGGTAAACAGTTTAGCTTTGTGTACTTCCATACATTACGGAAACCTGGCTAATCACTTACGCAACTCCATTAATCACAAGCCATCGATACGAACATGAACCACCGTACGCGCTGTTAATGGCGAGGACATTCAATCCCCAATCCTCTGTATGTCAAGTTCGCCTTACGTGATGCAATCCACGACTGACAGAGCCACGTCCGGTCCATCAGCCGTTACACATTGGCATTTTCAGTTGGTCATCCTCCACATGATAGCTATTAGTTACGCTGCGGCACTCGATGGCGTAGATAAAATAATATTAAATACGCCGTAGGTGTTAACCCTCGGTACCTCTACAAGTACTCCCTTAAGGGGCTATAGATGATATAGCGGGCCCTTAAGCCGCGTCGGGCGGTTATACAGGTAAACTTGTAGCCAAACGACTACTAAACCTCCTGTCCCTCCCTAAGTCTGTGCTACAACCCCTGCCTGAACTACCGATAAGTGTGGTAATGTGGCACTTAAATGCGTCCTCAGGGGTGGGATGCTACTGATGTGCAGAAGATGCTCGACTATTTTTTGTCGCGACAAGTCGTAGTATCTGCTAATTGGGGTTCTCGTCGAGCGTATACACCTCAACCATACGCTCAAGTGGATAGACCGTAACGTGGTCTAGACGCTCGCAAGAATCGCGGCGAGAGGGGCTCCGATAAGGGGTCGGATTAACGATTCGAATTCTGGACCGGCTGTCGAGTTATATTCCGCCGACGTAGTGCTTGACGGTCGACTGGCTAGGATGCTCGTAATCCTAAACTGCACCAATCTCCCTATTATCGCTAGGTAGGCGAAGTCAACAAGGTGGGCAGCGCGCCGTAAGGGTTGACTAAACCCCCTTGTGTGTCAGCTGCGGGATTCGAACCCGCGACTCGTCACCGACCTAAGTGGGCGAGGCTCAAATCGGGACTTATCTACCAGCGAAGTGACCAACTACACCAGCCGACGGGCTTATATATATCCACGCGAGTTCGAGCGGGTTGATATGCGATCTTGGTATATAGATCTAAGCGACTAACTTGATGGACAACACCGAACGCTGAACTCCCGAGCCTAGCTGATAAATTTCCCTTGCTGTGCCAACTTGCAATCTCAGTCAATGGCGTACAGTATACATGCCTCTGTTTGGCTGTGATAGATAGTAGCAGCAATCGCGCCCGCTTCGACCACCTGCCCTCAGCAACAACAGATGCTACACATGGAGCTGCCCCTATCCAAGGTGCCCTTCATTATAGTTAATGAGGAACTGGATTTAGCGACTGATTATTATTTAGGAGTGCAATGAGCAGTCGGCGACTTTCATACATGTTTTATTTTACTTTATTTGGGTAATCGATGAGGATTAAAATCATGATTATTCGTCGTTGCCGACTAACCCGTTCTCATATTGAACCCTATCCATACCTCTTCCTGCCATGTGAGGTTGCCCTGCTGGGTGGCCCGGCAGTGTACTGGAGTTCTATGGTCGTGACTTGGAATGTTGAAGTCGCCAGGCCGGTCATTGACCTCCTTGTGTGTAGAGTTCACACCACAAGGCTGAAACATAGAAGAATATGCTGGATTCGGGACTATCGGCTGCAGTGAATGGTTTAATCCTGTGTCGCAAGCACGGCGACGCTCCTCGGTGAATTCCTCGCCTGGTTTGCTGGTATTAGCTAAGCGGCGTGCTCTTTTAGTTGATGAGCATGAGAGATAGCCTGTGCACAATCGTCGAGGGTTGTGTTAACTCAACGGGTCGAGTGCAGACATCAGATGTTGGGTGGCATGTAAACGATCTTCAGGTCTGGGCAATGCTGACGGGTTTCTGGGTCTGGGTTTGGACGGTCTAATTAGCATTCACAGTCATATAATTCCAAAGCATATATGCCGTTATGGAGACGGAGATATGAAAGGGAGCGCGCCCAAGTGCATCAAGCTCTCACCTGAGCAGGGAACATTCTCGTCTTGTGGGGGGAAAGTCGGCCACAACGCGTCCCACGTATCGATTTTGATTCTTTGACCATCGAGATGAAATCAGCTTCACTTCTATGCTCGCAGCGATCCCATGCTCCGGATCCAAGTTTGGTGGGTTCGGCGTCTTGTAGCCACAGTGTAGGTGTTTTTGCACTTGAACTGTACAAATTTCCTTCGAATCGAACCCTGCCCGACATCGCTGACGCATGTGAGCCACGGGCCGGCCCGGTTCTTTACTGCGGTTTTCAGACTTGACGTGTCGTCTACTTGTGGTTAGGCAGCTTTCCAAATGACACAGATGATAGCAGCTTACTTCGGAAATCCATCGTCATCCATCGATTTGTCGCGCAACGAGGGTACTGGATGGCATTGAACCCAAATGGATTGCGCTTGTGGAAGGGACAACTCAACCCTTGGGTTGGTATCCAGCTGCTGGTATCCACCGCTCGAGCCATCTTCTGGTTGTGAATCATCATCCTCGTGATCACGAGATTCTCCAGCAGCACGGTTATTTCTTCTTGGGTCGTCTTTCTGAGCGTTGTTTCCACAGTGTTCGCGCTCACTTGAACCGGTATCCTGAGATGAATCGGTGGGTGTCGAGCTTCCTCCGCTATTCTTTATCCGGGGTGAGTCGCAATCAACAAGATAGGTGCTTGCCACCATTGGAAACCATGGTAGGTCACCATCACCTGTTGAGGATCGTTGGAAGTCCGAGATAAAACGGAATAGGCCCCAGCGTCGGTATTATTATCCAGACGAGATTGATTGCTTCACGAAGTCCACCCAAGGCCATTGCTGGAGTTTGTTCACGGAGGAGACTTAGCAATGTTTGAGACGGCGCGGGACTTTGGGGTCTTGACGAGTAACCTACTGGTGGACGGAATTTGCCGATTGCCGAGCTTGTCGGCGATGGAGTATTGCAGCGTTATCAATCTTTCATTCTCGTTTATGTGCAGGTAGACAGAAGACCTGAAGTCCGTTTGTATCTGTGCAAACAGTCTGAAAGTCGAATCATGAGTTGACCGCTGAAGCACGCAAGCTGAGCAAGTATGTACATGCTAATTCTGTCGGGTCCACTCGTGCTAGAAACAAGTTCAATGAATTCAAGATACTGTCGCAAAACATATCACTAGTATGTAATATCACTTCTCTGTTGTTTTTCTTGGGGCGTAGATCGTCTGGTATGATCAGGGAGCCTTGCTCAAGGAGGAACTTCGAATGCTACGGTCTCTGTACCGGTTTGGGCATTGTGATTGTTGTCGCAGCTAGCACGGGCGGGAATGAAGTACCCATAGAATCGGATTGGTACACATCCAAAAGAAGACGGAGGAAGTGATTGTAAGATGCTGTTGACAAGTGCCTCCCAGTCCAGCGACTGTGGATCAAGGAGCTCCCCAGATATTACTCGTCTAGCTTCAGGTCTATCGTGAGAGATTCAACGAGGCTATGTCGGGCCAGGTCATTCTCATGCACGAAACGCCAACATCCATAAAAATTCCTTTCTCTCAGTAGGTCGGACTGCGCAGCTTCCAAGTTTCCGACGGTTGAGTATCCAGGCAAATGACCGTTGCCGAGCGTACTGTGCTTGGCAACTGGCTGGCTCTGCATGCCGATGTCTCTCGTCGGTTCCTACAGCGAGCTGGTGATCCGGGCCTTGCTAAACACAGTGAACTAGGAGACTTCCGACGTCATGACCGAGTTGGTCTCCCATATATATGAGAGAAAGACATGCCGCTTCCGATTCCAACTGCCTATAACTTGACCTCATAAAGTAGGAAATCGGGGCGGCCTCGAAACGACAGAGTTGCCATTGCCAAAACAAACTGAAGGGGCTGCTTTCAGCACGGCAGCTAGGTCTGTTAAGTTACTGGTCAACCCATGCTCAATATTTTCTGATCAGTTCAGGTATGATATCCTAGAGGGAGTCCAAGCACTGGACGACTATGGTGGCTAGTCATGCAGTTCACAGGCTGTTTTGCTAGAAATATTTATAAGTCATCGAGTCCAACGGAAAGCCAAACTGCAAACACTAAACACTCCGGCCATGTCAGCTCCAGAGGTTGCGGCATCGCAACGGTTGGGAATGTCGTGTGGCAGTTAGACGGAAACACTCCACCTGGCTATATAGCGTGTCGTACAAGTAGAGTTAACATAAGAAAGAGTAGCTCTGCCGCTCGCCTTCAACGAGCCAAGTCCGATGATAATTCCAACATATCTCCCGGGGTTTATAATGGCATGTTGAGCAAGCACCGCATTTGGGCCACTCCAAGTCGGTCGGCCGGCCGGCTTTCGGGTCGCCAAGCCTCAAGATCTTAAGTCTGCTGCGCTCAGACATTCACGAACGCAATAGTTAGAACTATCACGAATCACGCCGCATTCGTTCTGGGTTGAATCTAAAGATTTCGTCTCAGGTGCCGCCGCGCTTGGAACAACATCCCATAATGCAAGTGGATATGTGGGAAACTACAGTGGCTCCCGGGTAGACCGAGTCGTAACATGACAAGCAGATCCTAAAACTGCCAAAAGCGGTCAAGACTGATGGGTTAGGGCCTCGAAGCTGGGGTAGCTAGCGTGGTGGAGTTGAAATTGACCCTGACATCAGTTAGAAATTGAGACCTGTTAGACTCGTGAAGTCGAGAAAGAGTGTAAGCCGACGATGCGCGTCAATTCCACACACACACATGGCGTAGAATCAGACGTCACGTGGGGAAAGGCGCCATAAGCGCTGGACTGTCGTGAACGATGGATCGTGATATGCTACATAAATGCGACTCAAACTCCATTCCCCGCGCACTTGCAGCGAACCATGGTTCGCAACTGAGCTGGGCGACCAATGCTTGTTTCATTTCTTGCAAGAATAGCGCTAGGGCTTGCCTTAGATCTGCAGAGCCAGCTAGATGCCATGGAGAGGCAGACATGATGGTCCGGTGTTCCAGTTTCGACAATTTTCGACAATCACTGCAACAGCTGTGGCACAGCTGGAATGTTGAGCCTCGATCGGTCAAGCATCAATATCCTGTCAGTCTGTATTGGTAATCTGCTGAGGCCGTGGCAAGCGATGGGAAATACGAATAGAAGGTTTTCGGGAGTTTGGGATGGCTATTTCTTCTTGTGTGGCTACAACGGTGACTGGACCGGGTTGACTCGAGAAACACGGGCATAAATTGCATCCCCCTTGAAAGTTCATAAGAATAGCATCTCTTGAATATCTGTGGCTGTTTCGAAATGCAGGCTGCAGGGATGGGGTCAATCGTTAACGACTGCCAATTTTGACTGGCTCATTTCAGCTCTTTGGCTCCGAGTAAGATTCTAGCCTGCCAGGTTTCGGACGCAAGCTGTTGACTGCCGTAAATCCCCGATCGACGTAATTTCTGGGGTGCTATTGGAGAGTCATATCATCAGCTCAGAAGCTATCAAATCGTCGGCCCCATGGGAGTTGAAGGTATTGTCCTAGGATTCAATCTTGCTGGTCAGAATCAATATTTCCACAGCGACCGGAGCGCCCGCCGTAATGGTAACTTGTAGGTAAGTTAAAAAAATCTTGGGAAATGATTGGTGACGAGCCAGTTTGTTGAAATGGCCAAAATTCGCTTCCGAGTCTCGTCAATCAATGTTCTTCGAGGCCCTTTCTTGTACGTGCGATCTGCGTGCCCGGGCCGACTAGAGGCTCGCCCAAGTTTGTCTCACCAGCAGAAGCTTGGCTTTTTGTAGTTGGCCTCTCCGGCTGGTGGACCACGAGACTTTGTGGCATAGCATATGATTCTGTTCTTTGGCCCCTATCCGTCTTCAAGGAGGGTGTGCATGGCTTTGGTTTGATTTGGAAGCGGCACGGCCTTCGACTTGCACACTGTTGATGTTGGTCGTCGGACAACAAAATGCAATCAGGAGAGTACTTCCTTGAGTAAGCAGCGATGGGAACTATTTTGGATGACGACTTTGTTTTTTCAAACATTGTCTGGAATCGAGTAACGGGAGATTGTTCAGGCGACCTGAAGCCCGGGCGTGCAAAGGCAAGTCATGGCATTCTGCGGCTGTCGCAATGCGAGAAATGAGCCGTTGACGTGGAAGTCTCCATCAATTTCACAAAACACTGCACTGTACTGTTACAGAACCTTATGCCAAACTTCTCATAACCCGTTTCTTCACCGGTCAATGGCTAATCAATCTGCCTGTCGACAGTATTTTGATATTCAAGCATTCTTCAAATTGTAGATTTTTGCCGGAAGGGGGCTTCTGCTTGGGTCTAAAGCTACTTTTAGAATGGGCAAAGGAGTTTGCCGAACCGTACCCCAGCTCGCTTCTTGCCTCGTTGGGACTAGCCCATTTTGGAGTGGACTCATTGTGCACCTGGACTCTAGGCCACTTTCCGCACGGGGCAGTGCCTTCCCATCATCCACTCGCATCCACTCCACCGCGACTAGACCAGGCCAACAAACCCAAGCAGCGTCCAGTCTCGCTCGATTTTCTCCCTTTTTGATCTTCACTCTCAATCAGGTCAACCTCACAACAACGGCACGACGCAACCATCCCTTGGCGAGGATCCGTCCCGTCTCTTCGCCATTTCTTCGAGTGCCCCGTCAATACATTAATACACTCGAGAGATGAGCCACCCACAATATTGAGCGTCTGCGTATCTTAGATACTCTATTTACTTGCCGCGTCGGGCAGCCACCGCCTCGGGTCATCTACCGCTCGCCCACCGCTTTTGCTTACCACGCAAATCTGCTCCCGACCGTCTTTTTCTCCCCATCGTGTTGTGTAGCCGCACTCCCTGACGAACCTCGTCGCTCCTCGCAATGGCTTCCTCCTCGTCAAACGTCGTCGGTGTACATTACCGAGTCGGCAAAAAGATCGGAGAGGGTTCCTTCGGTGTCATCTTCGAGGGAACTAACCTGTTGAACAACCAACAAGTTGCCATCAAATTTGTGAGTATCAATTGATGATGATGCCGTTCATCGGATGCCAAACACATCCTGTTCCGTTTTGTGCTCATCGGCTTCTCATCGCGCGCCTTCATCTCGCCCTGTACAATTGACTGACTATGGTATTTAGGAACCCCGGAAGAGTGATGCCCCCCAACTCCGCGATGAATATCGGACATACAAAATTCTCGTTGGTTGCCGTAAGTATTTCAATGCTAATGATCCTCGGAGGCCACACCGGATGAAACCCCAGCTGACGGAATCGCCAATAGCGGGTATCCCCAACGTATACTACTTCGGCCAGGAAGGACTACACAACATTCTAGTCATAGATCTGCTAGGACCTTCGTTGGAGGACCTTTTCGACCACTGCAACAGGAGATTCTCGATTAAGACGGTCGTCATGGTCGCCAAGCAAATGGTATTTGAACCACTCCAATGTCCCACGTGCCTGTACTGACATCCCATACAGCTCTCCCGTGTCCAGACCATCCACGAGAAGAATCTGATCTACCGAGACATCAAGCCCGACAACTTCCTTATTGGACGCCCTGGAACCAAGGCAGCGAATGTGATCCATGTTGTGGATTTTGGTATGGCCAAGCAGTACCGGGACCCCAAGTCCAAGCAGCACATTCCCTACCGCGAGCGAAAGTCGCTATCAGGAACTGCTCGATACATGAGTATTAACACCCATTTGGGTCGTGAACAATCGCGTCGTGATGACCTCGAGGCCCTGGGTCACGTCTTCATGTACTTCTTGCGTGGCGGATTGCCGTGGCAGGGCCTGAAGGCTGCGACCAACAAGCAGAAGTACGAGAAGATTGGTGAGAAGAAGCAAACTACCCAGATTAAGGATCTTTGCGAAGGATTCCCCGATGAATTCAGCAAGTACTTGACCTATGTGCGTAACCTCGGGTTCGAGGACACTCCCGACTATGACTATCTCCGGGAGCTGTTCACGCAGGCGCTGAAGAACACGGGCGAGGTCGAGGACGGCGAGTACGACTGGATGAAGATTAATAAGGACTCTGGCAAGGGTTGGGACGCCATGCACAAGCACGGAGCGTACCACAACCCAAACCAAAGGCCCGGCCCGTCGCAGATGGAACTCCATGGCGCCTCCCGCAATGGTGCCAGCACTCCTCATCTCACCCGCGACCGTTTAAACGCCGCGCAGCCCCCACCTCCGTCTCCAGCGAAGGCGACGGACAAGCGCCGGCCAAACGCACCCGGCGCGCTTAACGCACAGCGAGTTAGCGGGGTGGGGGGTCTCCGGGACATGGCTACGCCAACTGGCTCAACCCAAGCCCAGTTTCAAAATAGCAACCAGAATCTGCCATCGAGAATGGCACCACCTGCCAACATGGGTCCTTCCAACATGCCAAATGGCGGTCGTCCAACCGAACCCGAACCGACGGGCTTCCAGAAGTTCATGAAGGTGCTCTGCTGTGGTGAGTGACCCACAAACACAGGATCAGGCAGAACGTGTGGAACTAACCGAATGCAGGTTAAACGGATATGTCATGATTGCGATTCCATATAGACTATAGAGAGCATTGGCACGGATCAACGCTTTCTCTTACTTAGTAAGACCTTTTAATACTCTTTGGGGCCGCACCCATCCTCGGCATAACTGTTTGATACAACCGCTTCACGCATCTACGACGAAATTTCCCAGTATCATCAACTTTCCCCAACGTCCTCTGTATTCTTCACGAAACATCGGCATTGCAAGTGGTCAACCGAGACTATCTTCTGCTTGCGCAAAGCAGGATCCTGCCGGAATCCCGTGTTAGTTGGACGTGGATCTTGGTATCTCAACTCGGCGGAGTTCGGAAATGGAACAAACCAAAACACACCTTTTTTCTCTCGTTCGTGACCCTCGTTTTGTGATGAGAGATAGAACCAGAACAGGGCTATTAATCAACTAGAGCGACGCAGCGAGTAAAGCAGTAACGGCGCCGGTGGGTCTCAGCGTCGTTTGACTTTTAGTACCACACAGGCAGCATTGGGCATCGGGGTTCTCTACGCTTTTTATTTTATTTTATTTTCTTATCTCGTTCCCACTCCCCCCAAATCATACTGTTCATAATGGAGCTGGCGAATGCTGGTGTACAGCCGCCGAGGGAGAGAGTGACGGCTTGGTTGGAAAGTGGAGGGGTGGATTGAGGAGTCGAGAGTAGTCGAGGGGGAAGGAAGAAGGAAATTCGAGAGGAGAAATGAGAGCATCTCACGTACAGGGCCACGGCACGCATGGACATTGAGCTTCTGCGTCGATAGAAAAGAGTACAATGCCACGAAATCTTGATAGTACAACTAGCGACCGTATTCTCGCCTGGGTCCAAACATGACATGCCGCAGAGCTGCTGCCAGGACCAATACTTTGTGGAGACGGCACTCGCTCACCAATCTCTGGCACTTGGAGACAAGCTAGATAAGGATGGGGAGGGGCGGCTGATATCTCGGTGTCTCCAACTGGGCCAGGGGAGATGCTGAGTATGGAACTGGAGGTCCTTCTCATTAATAGCTAATAGCATGTACATACGTGATGTTCTATCTACGCCATAACAAGCACCAATTCAGGGAGGTTCTGATTGGTTATCAACCTCAAATTGACTTGTTGAGTAGTATAGTTGGTGATTCTCTTCATTGAGTTATCAACAACACAATCTACTCCCAAATAGTACAGTCGGCTGGTGTAGTTGGTCACTTCGCTGGTAGATAAGTCCCGATTTGAGCCTCGCCCACTTGGGTCGGTGACGAGTCGCGGGTTCGAATCCCGCAGCTGACACACAAGGGGGTTTAGTCAACCCTTACGGCGCGCTGCCCACCTTGTTGACTTCGCCTACCTAGCGATAATAGGGAGATTGGTGCAGTTTAGGATTACGAGCATCCTAGCCAGTCGACCGTCAAGCACTACGTCGGCGGAATATAACTCGACAGCCGGTCCAGAATTCGAATCGTTAATCCGACCCCTTATCGGAGCCCCTCTCGCCGCGATTCTTGCGAGCGTCTAGACCACGTTACGGTCTATCCACTTGAGCGTATGGTTGAGGTGTATACGCTCGACGAGAACCCCAATTAGCAGATACTACGACTTGTCGCGACAAAAAATAGTCGAGCATCTTCTGCACATCAGTAGCATCCCACCCCTGAGGACGCATTTAAGTGCCACATTACCACACTTATCGGTAGTTCAGGCAGGGGTTGTAGCACAGACTTAGGGAGGGACAGGAGGTTTAGTAGTCGTTTGGCTACAAGTTTACCTGTATAACCGCCCGACGCGGCTTAAGGGCCCGCTATATCATCTATAGCCCCTTAAGGGAGTACTTGTAGAGGTACCGAGGGTTAACACCTACGGCGTATTTAATATTATTATTATTATTACCCCTAGTTTAGATCTGGGATTGTGACAGGCTGTGCCTGTCACGCCGTGCTAGGGGTTGCAATCCTTGCCACTACGCCACCGTACCAGATGTCTTCACCAAAAGAGAACAATACCAAAGTCCCTGACTTTGATATCTGCAACCACTTATCAATCTGTTCAGACCAATGTAGGTCAATCACGTGACAACCGTCACAGTGCCTGAAATGGGATCCGGAGCTGCAAGAACCTTGCGTCCGGATCCAACAAAGGAACCATCGAGGGCATATAAAAACATAGTTTGTGTTCTCGGAAAACTCGTTTATTTTACTTTCCTCCTCAGTTAGATAATTAACAGTATTTGGCCATGTTGAGTGTGAAGGTCAACCCTCGCAGACTCACTACAACCAGGTGACTTACAGCTGGGACACCTGCCGTGGCAGTGTCAGATGGGAAGCCAATCATAACCCTTGTAGGAGCCCCGCCAAGCGTGGATGACTTAGTCGCGCTCCCTCAAACCTAAGTTGTCATCTTCTTTCCTTCGCTCCTTAGAGTAGAATCTTCGTCGATAGCACCTAATCGAGGTCTCTACCAATGCGATGCAACCCAGGTCGTGATACTATCGACGAAGATTCTACTCTAAGGAGCGAAGGAAAGAAGATGACAACTTAGGTTTGAGGGAGCGCGACTAAGTCATCCACGCTTGGCGGGGCTCCTACAAGGGTTATGATTGGCTTCCCATCTGACACTGCCACGGCAGGTGTTCCAGCTGTAAGTCACCTGGTTGTAGTGAGTCTGCGAGGGTTGACCTTCACAGATAGCACCTAATCGAGGTTTCTACCAATGCGATGCAACCCAGGTCGTGACATTGAGCTGTATAGTTTCGCAGCAGGGTTAGCCATCGATCGAGCGCTCGCCGAGTGGGTCTGGCATACTCAAGATCTCGACGAGTGATAATGGCTTTGCAAATTCTCGCGGCGAGAGGTCTTGACCTGGATCGCTCGCTAAGTCTCGGCGAGAGTAGGGTGCCCCTGGAAGTTACTAGGGGTCGGGCCCTGTTGACAGGGGTTGAAGCTAAGAAAGTGGAGCTAGAGTGGTATCGTGACCCTATTTTGGTGTTTAGGACCGTTAGAGTCCCCTAACTAATTGCCAATAAAGCCAATGCCTCGCAATCTCCAATTCCGACCGATTTACAGGATGACGTTGACCTGTTCTTCGATGACAATGTTAGCCTGATTTCACAGCAACGGCTATCGTCACCATCAGTCCTTCCATTATCGCAACCTCCTTCTGAAATAGCCAACGATGAGCTATTATCGCAGCCCCCATATCCTGACTATAGCCAACTTACCGCTGCTATCTGGGCACGGTTTCCAGGCTGCGTGGCTGATCCGGACCCAAATACCTTCAAAGCGTGGCATTGGCGTTTTGGCTACCGCATGAAGACACCACAGTTGAAGCGGCTATGGGTGTGTTCAAAGTGTGTTTTGATGGATCATCCTAAGCAAAAAAAGGAGTACTGTTTTATCGCTTCAACCTCAGCTAGTATTACTAGTCATCTAAAGAAACACGAGATCTTTGTAGGTACCTACCTATCGACTTGGATCATACTTACAATAATAGGAACCGTCTTCAAGCAGGAAGCGCAAGGTAACTGACGCTACTGACCATCTCGGAATCGACCGTCACAACCCCTACGAACAAGCTCTTGTTAACAAATTCAACTCCCTTCATCAAAGCCGTGTCGTAAGGTTACTCTTGCTCGACTGGCTAGTTAGCGATAACCTCGCTTTTACTACCATTAACTCCACGAGGTTCCTTAAGGTCATGGAAGCGATGAATCCGACGGTAAAGATCCCATCGAGTCAGACATTAGTACGATTATTGCAGAAAGAGTATATAAGGGCGATGGAGTCAGTTATCGCGTTACTCAAGACAGCTAGGGGTAAGATCCATTTCTCGTTCGATGGATGGACTTCAAGGACTCATACCTCGTTTCTCGGCGTAACTGTCTATTTTCTTGACCTTGACTGGAAGTACTGGTGCTTCCAGCTCGGTATGCCACCTCTGCAAGGTAGGCATACCGGTAAGGCCATCGCCGACGAGATTGTGGCTATGATACGTGACCCCATGGGGGGTTGCCCTATAGCTAGAGATAAGATAGATAAGAGCTATAAAAGAGCTCTGCCAGGCCAGAATAGCTGACCTGGCGATCCTTTTCCAATACAACAATTTCACACCCCATATGCACTCGCATCAGGCTATCTTCAATGGCTTCGGTATTACAGCTGAGCGTATCGGGTTCTTTACTCTTGATAATGCCACCAACAACGATACATGCTTAGATGTGCTCGGTATGGTTTATAGCTTTGACCCTAAAGAGAGGCGTCTCCCCGATGTGGCCCCCCATACCATCAATCTCTCTACGAAGTCCCTGATATACGGCTCGAGGACCGACGACTTTACAGCGCTATTGAATGGTCTTGATGAAGGCGAACTTAATAGTGACGCAGAGGATGACGATAAGTTGATCCAGGGCTTGGTTGATGAACTTGCGACTCGCCCAGGATGGGACAACATCAACCTAGACGCTGACGATGGCGATAACGATAAGGATACCGAAAACGTCGATTCTCGTATTGGCTATGATGTCGTCAAAGCACCTGAACATCTCAATGCCAAGTCCCTTGATCAGTACCGCAAGGATGGCCCATTTGGCAAACTCCATTGTTTTGGGGTCTGTCTTTCAAGAAGCAGTCAACTTACCTTAACCTTCGAGCGCAGTCCTCGCAGTACTGGGTAAAAAACTCTGTTTTGTTCACAGCGTCAAGACGCGATGAGAATCCGACGAGGCTATGGCTAGCCGAGCCCTTGAAATCGGTGAAAAGACATTCGACCAGTTCCTTAATACTGTCGATAGGGAGTGCGACGTCAATCAACCCAAGCCTGAGATCCTCAAGTATGGCCTTACTACCAATGATTGGCGCGTGATCCGGGCTATTCAGCTCGTATTAAGGGACTTCGCAGTTATCTCAAAAAGCCTGCAATCGCGCGCTGTTGCCACCGATGACGAGGAGGGCAAGGCCGGCGGCATGTGGGATTACTTCCCTTCATTCGAGATCTTGCTTGACCATCTCGAGCGCTCTGCCAATGAGGGCGTTGTCTATATAGAAAAGAGGTCTCACAATGGTCAGCTAAATGGTGAAGATATCCCAATCTTTGAAGGTATGGCGCTTAACTTTTCCCTTAGCTAGTACTAATACGCGATTTCTTTACAGGACTTGACCTTAAAACGCGCCGCACACTCCAGGTTTTTTTGCGTCTTCGTTGGAAAAAGCTCGACGAGTTCTATACCAAGATGACGGGGCTCGCGTACTATGCTGCCGTAATCTTCCATCCTTGCCGAAAGATGAAGCATCTCGACGACGCCTGGTCGTCGATACCTTGTCGGCAGCAAGATACGTGGAGGGCTGACGTAATGGGCAAGCTAAGGATGGAGTGGGTTAATAACTATAGTACCAAGTAAGTTAGCGTGCTCTTGTGCGATAATGACTAATTAGAGATGTGCCATAGGGACGTAATTACCAGCGAGCGTCCAACTGAGCAGAGCGTGGCCTCGATGAGCTTTGCTCAAAGACGTCTATTCTTTAGGCAACGTAGTAACAACTCCACGATACCCGACCCCGGTACGCAAAGCATACAGAATACCCAGGCGACAAGAAGGACGAAGATATACAAGTCTAGGGCGAAGCGTCCGGCCCAAGTTACCCAACCGCTGCCGCCAATCGAAGATGAGCTCGATCTATACCTCGCCGAGCCAGTCTGCGGCATCGCAGTATACAAGGATAACCCAATACGATGGTGGAGGGATGTTGGTCAGCGACGTTTTCCTCGGCTTAGCTATATGGCTATAGATTACCTTACTATACCTCCGTCAACATGCGAGACTGAGCGTCAATTCAACAGCGCAGGGCGTATGTTGAGTCCGTTGAGGAATCGCCTAAGCCGATGGATCGTATCACAGGCCCAGAGCATACGGTCTTGGAGTCTGAATGGCGTGTACACACCACAAATTCCCCTCCATTTGGTGGATAACAATGATTGGCGGCTTGTTGTAAGAGCAGCTGGCCTCTCAGGGCTGGACGACGAGGTTATGTAGTAATACCAAAACACCAAAAACTATCACCATTCTCGCCGAGCTCGCCGATCCTCTCGCCGAGCGACCCACCTAGCGATACGTCAACGCTCGATGAGCGTCCTTAAGGCCGCTCGCTGGTCAGCGAGCGAGAGTGGGTCAAAATGCCAGCGATACGATCGATGGCTAACCCTGGATACAAGATGCAGAACAATTGCGGGCTCTGGAGTCATTTTGGATTCGCCGAGAATGCGAAGCTGTGACCTAATAGCACAAGGAGATTGTTGACCAGATTGATGTATGAAAGCTCAGCTCCTGAAAAAGAAAACATGAGACGTGGTACACTAATCACGAAAAAGTCCCCGGATACTCCACACACACCCCAATTTGGTTAACAAAACAACAATATTAGTGTATTGATTTCAACTAGCTATTACAACCCTAATTTGCAATATATTTTCCGGCTTTTGCTATGGAAATAAGCGATAATCGCGGCGCAAATTTCGAATTCAGCCTAGAAGCTAGAGCCGCCATTGTAGCCGTCAGGGCAAGTGGTATAAGTCGGAAGGAGGTAGTAGACGCGTTCGGCACGTCAAGGCCCCAAACTATCACTGATATCGCCGGACGCGCTAAAATGACGAAAGCCACAGCTACGAAGAAGCGGATAGGTACCTACTAAAGTTAAGCGCTAGATATGAGAGACATCTGGTCGTTTTATGCCGCCGGTATCCTAGAATAACGTATACGGAGCTTAAGCGTAAGGCAGGTGTATCGGTACACCTAGAGACTATTAAGGTAGTTATACACCGGGAAGACAATGACAGACAGGGCGAGAAATTCACAAAGGAAAACTCGCTGGATGGCAGACATGTCCCTGCGTTTGATAATGAGAAGGCTACCGAATCAGAGGAAGGGGAGAAGACGACAGAGAACGCCGATCCATTGTCAATAGAAGGTAAAAAAGGCCTAGCTACCGAGAAGTAGGAAGGGTCCTTATCCGCTAGATGCCACAGGAGATGGGACTATCGATGAGGTAGAGAGTAGCGAAGCATTCATCGGCGAGGATGGTCAGGAGGCCGGAAGCAGGAAATGGAGATAAAACCCCGTCTAGCACCAATCCGTAGAACGAGGTGATGTCCAGGCTAGATGTTTTACTGTCCATAGAGGACGAAAAAGACCGCGATACGGACGTGGGCCGAGTTTCAGGTCCAGGCGCCTACAGCTCGGGAGACGCCCGACCAATGTCTCGTATTCAGATTCTTGGGGAAGAGAGCGACGAGCTCGCTTCTGAGAGAGAGGCGTTAAACGGGTTCATTTGCACACCCTCTGAGGACAGGAGTCTCAACGCAGGTAATGAGAAGTTTTAGAAGTGGAGTGGTTGGGCATAGAAAAGGGATAGATGGATACCCACGCGACGAGAAGAGAATAGATAAGTCGAAGACTGTGACAACACGCCCCCGGGCGAGGGGCAGAACAGAGTAGGAGTTATATAATATCACTATAAAAGTATGTTGTGCCATGACAATGCAAATTTCTGGTCTGTCGAGTTAACCAATCCCCTTCTGGGTTTTCTTTATTTCAATTTCAAGTTGTCATTACATAGATGATGCCTTCCCCATCATAATTAATGTATGTATAGATCCCGGACCAAAGCCTACTCTCTAGAGGGAAAGGGAAATATATATTTTATATTGTGGTGAATATTGTATGCATTCGTTCGATAGCACCTTTCTCAGGTGCTTCAATAAGACCAATGAAATATGTAGTCCGTTTGAGATAGTAGGAGAATGAAGCGAGTTGCTCTCCCATTCTTTTCTCTCCACTTTACAATGCCTGCGGCAACCACCTGTTATCTCAATCACCATGTTGTGTGTAAGAGGATGCCTGCTCTATCTTGGACTTTTCTTTCCTCACGCTCATTGTTATTGTGTCGATCTTTACCAAATGAGCCGACCCCAAACAATCTTCTTTGCATCATCAGACTCGAAACTTCGATGGCCATTCCCCACAGGGGGTCAGCCTCGACGAAAGAGGTTCATCTAATCTCCCGTTCGTGATTCGGTCTAATGTATCAGGAAATTTTGAATTTAGTTACAAATCTGTCTATGCTTACTTTTACTAACATATCTTAGAATAGGCATAGTACAGCAAGGTGATATGTCCTAGCTCATCGACAGTATAGTGTATAAATGGACTCGGGAAAAGCTGAAATACTCATCGCAAACTCGACTTTCAAAGCTACGGGCAACCGCGGAAAGTCTTAAACAAGGTTTCTCTAAGCCCAGTAAAAAAGTTCTGCCACGGGCCCAGACATCAAATTACCAGGACCAACAAAAAGAGAACTTCCACGCCCTTATTTTCCTCGCCAGCATATCAACTGTTGTTCGAAGTTGCACGTGCTGCCAATATCGTTGTGTACATACTTGCAGGGTCATACGTTGTCACAGATACGATATTTATGGGCGTGGGAACCAGACTTGTCGGCGAGTGCTGGGCTCGGATCGTTTCAAAAGGAGATAAGTTTGGAGACATGGAAAATGCACGAGTGATGGTACAAGTTGGAGAGGCTGGAGATGCCGAAGTCGTTGAAATCCAGGACCTGATGTTCACCATTGGCTCGACCGCTGGCGTCGTGCTGATGTAATGGAACGTCACCGAAACAAGCAAGGGATCAGCAGCAATGTGAGGTAAGTCCACCAGGTCCAAAAGAGAATTATTTGCAGACTTCACAGTGACTGATAAATATTGCACACAGAGAGTCATTTTCGAATCGGCGGAGCAAAGGGCACTGACTTGCAGGTGGGCGATTGTCCGAAGTTGACGGGAGCTGTGGATCCAGATTGTATCGCTGGCTTCATGCTTCTTCATGACATCTATTCAACAGGCTGTCTTGAAAATATCTGGGCTTGGGTTGCAGATCATGACCTTGATAGCAATGTCGCAGAGACTCAGATCGATACTTACATCGCAGGTGGTAAATAACCAACACTGGCTTCAAATCCTGTTATGTCTCGACTGCTGTGCAACGTTTGCTAATTTGGGAAGGCAGGTATCCTGATTGAAAGTACGAGCGCAATATGGCTATACGGAAGAGCTTCTGAACATTGTATTCTGTACCAGTACCAGCTGTTCAACTTCAAAGGCATTCTTATTGGAATTGTATGCCAATTGTAATTTCCTGAAGTCAATTTTCTGACCACTAATCTTCATGCCATACTTAAAATACAAACCGAGAGTCCTTACTACCTCCCGAATCTGCAAGCGCCTGAGCCTTTCACCGATGCCTTGGACTTATTCAACGGCGACCCGACTTTTGGAGACTGGAATGACTTCACGAACACTGAAAATCCGCTTGGAGTTTGAGAATTATCGGCTCTAACAACATCTACATCTTGAAGTTGGGCTTTATAACTGGTTTCAGGCTTATATTGAACCCTGCGTTGATAGTCAAGACTGCCAACAGCGGGTGTTTAATATTGGCAGCGCTGCGATTTGGTTCTTTAACCTCTACACCATTGGTACAGTTGAGATGCTTAACGCGCGAGGAGCCTACCCGATAACGGCCAAGAACAATACTAATATGCCGTCACATCCCTTCACCTCAGTCATAAATGCCTGGCTCCTGTCAGCTGCTGCAAGTTCCGACGACGAAGACGATTCTGTCTAGGAAGAGCCAGCGCCATGCGCTGCAAAATTCAGCACCATTGAAGACATCGCCGCTGCCCAGACCAATATCCCTTACCATTGCATGGACCAGTACATTGTCGGAGCTGAAGTCAAAATGCTCGACAAGGCTCTGCACATACACTGACACAATCAACGATGGATACATTGAAAACTTCCAAACCTATGCAGACCAAGTCAAGCGCCTTGTCCCCCAACAACTCAAAAACATGGATGGCAGGCGCACAAGAATCGGGATTCTTCAGTTGTACGAAGACTGACATCGTACTGTGCTGCAGATATTGCAGTCGTGGTTTTGGGGGATGCTCAATCTGCGACAATTCCCAAGGTTGCAAATCTGGCAAGCGCACCGAGGCGACTGATTGTCCTGACTGGATTCCTTACGGGTCAAGCGCGCAGCCCGTCATTACGTATATATTGACTGATGAAAACGGGTTTTTCGATGAGATGATGGACCGGTACGGGATAAACAAGTCCTGGGTTGTGTTCGGCGACTTGACCGTGACTATTTACATAGGGTGTGCATATGCAGGTAAAGATATGTTGGAGTGCGAAAAGAAGCACAACACATTCTGGTCGGGCTTCCCCTTGAGCAGAACCATCGACATCAGAGACCCCAAGGACTTGATGGCGCCCACGTTAGACAACAGCAAGGCTCTCTCGTCAAATCTCGGCTCACAGCTTTTCTTTTCCGAATTGGCTTTTCAAGAAGAGTTGGACAATATGGGCCCTGTGGGCCATGTGGGTCCTATACTTGCCACTATCGCCACCTAGAACGGCGACCATCCCCACATACCTCTATTACGAGAAATGTGGCAAGGATAGAACATTCCCTACTTATCTATATGCTTCTACAACTTGTCTGAATTAATCAGCAAGTCTACCATTCATTGACTATATAAGAACCCTTTTGTTTCCATACATAGACCCTCGAAGAGAGGACCAGAGTTAGCTACAATACAGACAGGTTAGGCATATGTGCCCTCCTTTTGCTCCTTCAACGGGAACATCAAATCCAAGTAGAAGCCACGACGGGGACTTGGTGGACACTGCCTCAATCTCGGTACTCCTCACGGAGCAAGGTTGTCGAGACGGCCGATGAGATCACGGCAGAACAACGCCGGGAGATGATTTTTGACTTCATCATGAGCGCTCTGATGCTCATCTCTGGCGTCGAAGCGGTCCTCCACGCAGCTCTGCTGACCTCGCTTGCCACCATATCAGGACGCTGGGAACTCTTGCAGGCATCGCATTGACTGTTTACGATGTGATTGAAGCCCCGGAAAACGCGCTGTAGCTCATACTTGATCTTTTCATAGGTGCTGCTGGCTCGAGGAGAAGCGGAGATTTCGCACTCGCGGCCGAAAAGAGGCGCGAGTTGTCCAGTCAAGAGCTGGATAGGCTGACGTCTATCCGCCCAAAAGTGAATACGATCGACACATGCCGGAATATTCATTACAAGAAGTAGCCTGCTATGATCTTATTAACATTTAGGGGTTGTATTCCTGGGCTGGTGTTGGAAGTCGAACAACACTCTCAACTGCACAACCCTGTCATACTTTCTCATATGACAGCCACCAGTGTATAATATGCATCGAGTTTATTTATCTGTCAGCGGGACTATCACAAGGTGGCTACTCAGAACTGGCCGGATAGCGCTTAGGCCCGGATAATATCGATCTTCTCAGGGGGACTTTGTTAGTAGGGTGAGAACTAACATAGTATTGTGGTGGACGTAACGCAGTCGCTAATAGAGCGAACCTACGTAGCAGCGTATGTATTTAGTCCAGCCATTAGGGCACGGTTTGACATAGGGAGCACTTGTAGAGGTACCGGGGGCTTCGAGCCTACGGCGTATTTAATAATAATAATCATTTATCTCAAGTTTACTCGAGATTTTCAATATAGATCTTGTTTTAAAATGATGGCGAACCTACTTCACCAACGAACGAGTGCTAGCATGAAGGAAGTGCTGGACCTCAATCTGATAGATGCATGCTTAAGGAATCAACCAGCTGGCGAATCATCCCAAATGGAAAATCTTGAGAAATGGATCAGCCGGTGTTCTTCAACATTGACTGCATCCCTCGCTGCGGTAAACTTATCCCTCGTTCACGTCTCAGCGATATCTAGATCAATTTGGTAATATCTGTGAGTATAATGCCGATCCAACCTTACATAAGTAATTAACCGTTGCGAAAGCGCCAAGTTTTGTCAAGACAAAAGATGAGCTGAGTCAAAGGTCCAAGAATAAGAATAATTACTTAAGTAGGCCTGGACGACTCAACCTTCGCCATCATGAGTCCAACACGCTACGCTACCCTAATCACACTCGAATCCTCGCTTCGCCAAAATGAAAACACGATTGCTTTTTTCGCATTAGCTCACCCGCTAGGGCGAGGTATAGGAGAGCCAGGCCAGCCAGCAAATATGCCACCCAAACCAGGCCTAGCGTACCTATTCACCGCCAACTTGACCATCTCACCCGCCACGCCCATAGGAGCAACGCCAACGGGCAACATGACAGTTCTCACATTCGGCCGAGTCAACGGTTCTCTTCTACCCCCTCGTTGGTTTGCTTCTTTCTATGGGCAGAAACCTCCAGGCGCCGTTATAAGCGGTATCGGAAATCCTTCAATCGACGGCCTCGGGGTATTTCATCAAGACAAACAACGGGGCGGCCATTTTCGTGCAGCACACTGGTGATGGGTTGGCTGAGCTATGACGTTTACAAGGCTGTTTAGGCTGAGCGGACATCGAAACGGGCGTTGATGTACCGCAGCAAGACCGATGATGACGAGGCTTGCGACAGGATAGACAGTCGTCATACCGGGTGTTAGGAATGAGTCAAGTCGAGAAACGAAAGCTCGAGAACTATTGATAATGTTTAATCTATGTTCAGTGACCCAGAATATCATGCACGAACGTCTCCCTGGGATGTGAGTACAAGTCATACTCATAAAACTGTCTCGTGCCGTCTTCAATCGTATGTATGCCCTGAGATTGACAGCTGGTTGTTGCATTTGAGACCCTTTCTCTATCGTATGAGGCAAGACGCGGCAATCTTAGTCCTATCCACGAAGAACCAGTTATTATTTCAGACGACATTGAGTTTATAATTGCTGTAATAAGACGCCGTTATCTGTGAAATCATACTTCTTTGTAACTCTCGTGTGTTATACTCCCTATAAAAGCCTACGGCTTATGACGGCAGTGAAGTAGCCTAGCTAGTATCTCGCCACACAATCTCTGCGCGACATGAAGGATGGACGTGATCTCGTGGGGCTGGAGCTTTGCAGTCGTCACGTTAAACTGATGATGAACCCACCAAAAACCGGAGGACTTGGCGACTCCGAGTTTTTCGAGTGTGGGTGACAGGTGCCGGTCAGAGTTTGTACATAAGTACTCTACAAACTCTGAATCGTAAAAATCCTATCTGCTTTATTTCTCGCTCGGAAGCGAAGGCACCTGGACGGCTTGGCAGTGGTACGGGCTCATCTGGATTGCTGGGCTTCCCCGGAGCGCTCCTGCTGGATGTTTCGGCTGTTGGTGACCTGACACGAAAGTGGGGTCCTCGAGCTGTTTTCACACCCGAGATCCCGCGGCGCTGCGCCCCCCTCCTCCGTGATTGTGTCTGGTACGACGATTTACATCTCATCACGTTGCTGAAATAGAATAGTGGAATAACGTCTGTAATTATATAAGAAAACACTTGGGAGATGAAAAAAAAGAAATCTGTAAATAGTCATGTCCAGTGAGAAGATAAGCACTGCGGAGCGTGGAGTACTGACAAGCAAGCCGGAGACCGATGGCCCAAGTCAGACGGGGCGAACACAAGGGGAAAGGCTCCGAGGGTCGAATGTCCGGTAATTCGCGGTGGAATCGATTTGTGTCAGCGTTTACCACACCGAGACAAAGGCCCACTGCGATGGATGTATTTTCGGTAGCAGTGACGATAAAAACACGGCACTTCGTAAATACAAATGGCGCTGGTTTTTATTTTTGGTCTTGTCCTCTGCTCTGGCGCTGAGTCCGACGGAACGCGTTGGTTCGCAGTCCAGCAGGTTGCCTCGATGCGTCCGTCGACCGACGTTGGCGGTGCTGCCATCCTGCGTCCGGTCGCACGAGGCCGTATCATCATCTGCGAGGTGCATCCCACATTGGGGGGTTTCGTTTGCACGAGTGTTGCAGTAGAGGCCTGTCTGATGGAACCAGCGCAACGGCGACATTTTCTCCTCGCGACCCGGAAGTGTACTTGGGCGCTCAACCTTGGCGCCGGAGTATCACGATCCAACCTCGGAGCAAACTATTGGAAATTGGCGCTGGCTTGGCCCGAGGCATAACGAAAAAAAGGGGTGGTGCATCGTTGCAGATGAAAGATCGGCCTGGGCGGCACACACTTCCGCACGGCGCAGACGGTTAGCAGGAGTGGCTGATCTTTGATTCGTGTCGCTGCTTTCCCAAGTGCGCCTCTCGGAGCAGGGCAAGGGGAAGCGGGCGCGGGCGCAGGCGTGTTTCCCCCTTGTCATCATCGGGTGATGGCACGGGTTCAGACCTTTTGCGCACAAACGAACCATCATCGATCTCAGGACACCCTAAATTCCGCCCTGGAGTCTGCGATCATAACCAGCTCGCTTGGCCAGGCGTTATTTAATTGAAAACCATCGCTTGTTTGAGGCGGCTTGACGGCACGACCTGCGAGTGCAGTGCAAACGCGCCGGGCGAATTCGATGCCCCGTTGATTTCGAGTGAGGTGCACACACCACTATGTGAGAGCAAGAAAAGCGCGACACGGCCAGCGGAAAGTGCCAGCCATCTCCATTGGTCCCGGGCAGCCGGGCCACCCCACAACGCAGCCAGGCAGATCTCGCCAGTCTTCTCCGTCAATGCAACGAGATTGTTGGCCAGAGGGTTGAATAAATGGTGTCAAGAAAAAGGAGCGATGGCCCATCCATAGATTTAGCCAAATGGCCATGTTACCTAAAGAAACCTTGGTAGAACCAGATCGAATTTGCCGTTGACGTTTCCGTTTGCGACGACGGCATCGGGAAGAATCGAAGCAAGGGGGCCCGAGGGATGATAGCGCAATTGCATGACCACCCCCAAGCCGGAGGCCAGCTGCGTAAGATCTCAATGCTCCATGCTTCGGAGCGGCGAGGACATTCTTGACCCACCATTTAGGAAATACACTTTTTGCACTTCGGACGTTATTAATGGAGTTCTCGAACTTTTTCTGGCACAAGGGGCAACCCCCCTTCCCCCTCCCCACCTTAGTGTTCGTCAGGCGACAGACACGTGGGGTGGAAGTGTCATGGCGTGTACTACATAGCTGCTTGCTTGCTTGCGGGTGTTGATGAATATTCGGCAGAAGCGTGCAGGCTCCGAGTTGGAACGAGGTACCTCTGGGTCCGGGCGAGGGGTCCAAAGTCGTCGCACAATGCAACGACTGATCCATCCAAGCCCGGTCATTCACCCAATCGCATGAGCACCAGGCAGTTAAGTTAGGTCTGGTTTCGTCGAATGTTGAAACCCTCTCCTCGTTGGCAAGAACGAGTGTCGTATTCTAGTTAAAGCGGAGGAAATTGCAAAATGCGGCCACGCGATTTTGCCGCCAGGCGCACTCGGGTACATGGAGCGCAAAGGTTGACAGTCCGTAGGACCTTTAAGAAAAATAAAAAATAAAATAAAAAGAAGGGGAATGACATATGTCGACTGGTTAAAGAAGGAGACGAAGACGAGAGCTGTAAATACTACCTGGCGTGCTTCAACCAGCCTGCTGCTGCGGATTGGCGCCCGTTGCAAGTCGTTGGGCGCACTTTCCAACTGTCCGTTTGAGAAAGTCCCAAAGTTGGTGTAAGTCGTATGGGGATTATAGAGGCTATGGCAGGCCTAGGTACATACGAGTAGTCGATGACTGATGAATGAATGAAGCCTGAAGAGCTGGTTAATGGTCATTTGGATGGTTGCAAGCTGGAGGACCGGGGGGGGAGGGCTGTATGGCGGTCGGCCGCTTGGGTCTTGATCGGCCTCGCAAGGTAGCCAGTAGAGTGGCTTTGCTTGAGATGCTGGTGGGGTCTGTCCCGGCCTCAGCGATGGCGGAAGCGACTGAGGTAGCCAGCCATGCGCAGTTTGAAAATAATTAGCAGAAGCTAGGAAGAGCAGTTACCTCTAGGATTATCGCATCGCTTCTGTACCTCAGGGTAATTAAATTCAGTCTTCCAACTCGAACAGTGGCCTAGTCGGCAGAACTTAAGTGAGGGCTTGCTTCCAAGTTTACGATGTGTGAAGTTACGGGCTGCTCCTGCCCCGCCCACCGTAATTCCGAGACGCCGTCCGTCAGCCTGAGATCCAGACCCATCCCTTCCTCTTTTTTCCCCCGGCCTTCTCTTCGGCACCTCGCAGGTGCTCCTCCCACCCTGCCCAGTCTTCGGTTGACTTCCTAGACCACTCCTTCTAACTTGAGCACCAGTCAGATTCCTAACGTTAGGACGAAATCCCTTTTCTAGTCCCCGTGCAGCGAGCCCTGGATCCACCATAGCCGACCCGTGGCAAAAGCTGTCAAGCCGTGAAAGCCGTGCCGCCTGCCTGGGGCCGCCCAATCCAGGCACTCGCGTCTTTTTCCTCTCACCTCCTCAAAAACCCTCTCCCCACTTCGCCGACCGACTCACAGCAGAAAAACTCCATATTCGCGGACCTCTCATTGTGCCGTTCAACAAGTCAGTCAACTTCAACCGGACCTGCCCCCGGAGCAGTTTCATTTTGTTCCGAGGATACTCTATAGCCTATCGCTGGCAGTTTCCGTGTTTCCCGGAAACCCTGTCGCGTCGGCAGAAGGCTTCAATTCATCCTCTCAACGCTGTATCGTCTGCCCACCCTCAACACCAATGGCCAGCGCTGCAAACATTCGCGGCACGTCGCTGCGCGCTGGCGGAGCGTGTGTTCGCTGTCGCAAAGGCAGTAAGTACTCGCCTGTCTTTTGAGCGTCGCGATTGTCTCAGTCACTAACCTCGTTCAGAGACGAAATGTGTCTATGAGAACGGTCGCGCGCCGTGCAAGAACTGCGCCAAGGGTCTGCATGAATGCTATCTGCCATCGGAAAGCCTCGCCCATCACCATGGACAGTCGCCTGCACGCACGACAGGATCTCGTCCCCGTGAGAGCCTGCCTGGAGAACGCAGCGTGTCATCCGCTGCCGAGCGACAGCCTGCGCCCAGTCAGACTATCGGGTCGCGTTCCGTACAGTCCAGTAGCGAGAAGTAAGTCCATGTTTACCTCCACGGCTTCTGCATTTGCACCATTGTTTGTCTATACCTAGCACCTGCTGTTTTCCTCATTTTTCTGTCGCTGTCTTACCACCATTTCCTGATGCCCTGCTTCGCTGCACGTCACGTCCGTGGGGTTTCAGGCAAACGCCCTGACGAAATTGTCGCTGCAACAGGACGTGCCGGTGCTTTTCGATTTCTCCGTGTTCCAAAATTGCCACCACCAGTTACTAACAGCTGTTCAGACTCACGCCCGAGTTGATGCAGGAGTGCGAGCGAGTTATTAACAAGACACTTCCGTCTTGTGTGGCCTTCCATAAGCCATCCTTCTTGCAGAAACTAAAGAATGGTACCCTTGATTCCAGCATGATCAATGGCCTTCTGTGTCTGGCTGCCAGGTAAGCAAACTAATTCTCGAGCGTTTTCATTCATGTTTTCATTCACCTCCTGACCTACCCTGACACATGCCGGCCAATGTTGCACACTCAGCAATGGCTCAATCGAGCGGGCAAATCCTGCCGAGGCCCCAGATGTCATCCCGTCCTCGTTGGGCTGTTTTAGCCACATGATTAATTTCCAGTGCTAACTCCATCTACAGAAGTTCCCAGCCTCTAATTCGCCGATATGGCGGCCAAGGTGGTGCGATGATGGCGGCCGACCACTTTGGTGTCAAGTGCCTCACCACCCTCATGCAAAATATGGACAACCCGACCCTACATGATATCCAGGCTCTATGCCTTCTCACAATTCATGAATGGGGATCTCGGAATGCGGTCCGCGCGTACATCTACCTGGGCCAAGCTGCGCGTATGGCTCAGATGTACCGCATCATCTCCCAACATGCCAGTCGCCCGGAGGCTGATCAATTCATCAAAGACGAATCCTTCCGACGCACCTTGTGGCTGATCTACATCCTCGACTGCTTCTTGACCAGCAGCCCCGGTCGTCATCCGGCTCTGTCGGCGCATGACATCAAGGATGTAGCCCTGCCGTGTCCAGACATGAGCTTCAACTTCGGCACCCCCGTCTTCGTCCGCACGCTGAGCGGTGCCCCACCACGCGGTGTCCCGGATCCCACGACTCCTTTGGCTGAAGTTGGCGAGTTTGGCCACATCGTCATGGCAACTCAAGCATGGCGCAACGTGATCGAGATGCTTACTACCGTCACTGTGGAGACCTTCTCAGAGCAGCAGTGCCAAAGTCTGGAAACAGAAATTGAGAGTGTCCGTCAAGCCTTGCCGATGCATTTCATGGACAAGCCTGGCCACATCAACCTGCACATTACCATGGGAAGTGGATACACGTACGCCATGCTGCATTCACTTCTTCATTGCGCCACTATCATGGTCAACCGTCGCAGACTACTGCAAGTTGTTACCACCGAAGGTTTTAACCACGAGACATGGCGGATGGTGCCTCATTCGCACTTGCAAACGGTAGATAGAGTCTTCGCTGCTGCCCATAGCATTATCTCGCTGTTGATTGCGCTCGAGGCCAACGTGGACAAGGACTCCACCGTCTGTTTCCCACTTGTCATGCTGTTCGCCTGCTTCACCGCGGGCTCGACGGTTGCGTGGTTCAGTCTCAAGGGATTGACACCCTCCAACGTCGATGAAACCGCAGAGGCACTTGTGCGCGACGCCATGCGCTACCTCCAGGACGGTGCAGAAGCATGGACGCTGGCAATTCCGTGGTTCCGTCATCTATCTGTCATGGCCAAGGTCTTGAGCAATGGTGACAACGCTGCCACCCAAATCAAGCCAGAGCCAGCACCGTCTTCGATCAAGGATGACACAGCTAGCCAGCCCGACAATAATCCAGAGCCAATGGATTACGACCGACCGGCATCTGCACAGCCCCATGACCAACCAAATGACGGCAGAGGAAGCGAGCCTCCCCGAAGAACGGGCTTTACCACGATCAATGGAGGATCCGCGGGGGCGTCGACACCAACGACAGCAAGCCCGCCACCAGCCCAAGGCAAGGTCGGGTCGCCCAATGCTCCATCTTCAGCCGGAGGAGGTCAGCCATCTGAACCTCCCGCCCCAACTTCGGGTACCGATATGACCGCTGCCGAACTATGCGGGGCGTTTGAGCACCAGCTGTTGGAGCTGGACGATCTGGCGGCTTTCATGGGTGGTGGTGTATGATCTCCCCCTTGCGATGCGATTCATTTTTCGTTGCCTCTCCGTGTTCGCTCACCAACGACTAGTATTAGGGGCGTGACGAGTTCCATCAGCATCAGCAGTTTCACCGCAGGACGATTTCTGATCTACCGTTCCACGTTGGCGTTAGGGCATCATAATGAATACAGGCTCATGGCTCCCGTTGCTCGCTTGCGGCTACTGTGCAACCATGCATTCATTTCCTTACACAAGCTGCTACATTTGGAGGGGCAGATTGGTGGGTGCATAAGTGGATTTCCTATTCTTGCTACGGCTAGAGGGATCTCGATTGCAGCTTGCAACGACCATGTCAGTATGAGGCGTTAGAGGGGGAAATGTACTATATGGCGTATATTGCCTTTGATCCGTTGTTTCACTACTACTATGCTATTACATTGGCATAATTCATACCATTGCGTTGGTTTGCAGTTCTACCCAATTTCGAGGTAGGGACCCGCGAGTCCGGTCATTTAGTTTCATAATGAATCACACTATGCTATGATTGTTTCGTTCCTTGAGTGAAATGGGTGAGTTATGATTTCGGAATGGTTTTCAATGTCTGTCTGTCCCATTTTATCATGGTGTTCAATGCTTTATTGGTTCTTCGTCCTGTCCCGCGCAGTTGTTGTGGACGGACTTACTACGATTCCTTCATCGGAACCAAAGAAATGGTATTTTCAATCAACTCGGGCACTTGTGCAGGTTTCCATTCTGTTTCATGTGGCTTTTGTCATTCGTTCTGTACTCACTCTGCGGATCCTACGGTATCCTAACTCATCACGCGGCGTCCCATCCTATGACATCCTAATTCGTTGTCGTTTCTGAACGATGCAGTGTCCTCCACCCATCCCCAGCTTCCGGAAGATTTCCTTCACGGCCCACTAGACGTTGACGACATGGTCTCCTGCTGGGAAAGCACATTCATACTCCAAGTCCAACTTGACCATGCGTCCCGCATTGAGGGTGACATCCCAGGAAACCTCGCCATCCTTCTTGAGTTGAGCCACCGCCTTACCCCAGTCTTTTTCCTCTTTGCCTTCTCTACCGGGAACGCCAGCACCAACACCAACACTACCGACCACCAGACCTCTAGGGTGGAGGATATCGATGCGTAGGCGCTCATCCTCGCTGACGGGAATCTGGCCCAAGACTGTCAGCTGCACGGGCTTGCCCTTGGAGCCGGATCGGGTATTGGACAGAGTAATGGCTCGTGTGTAGTGAACACCGTCTTCTTTGGAGAACAAGCCGGACTGGCTGCGCTTAACCTGGGGCTTGGGGTAGGCGACTTGGATTGCTGGGTCGACTCCAAGGCTAAGAGTGAAGGTGTCACCCGGGCTGCATCGAGGCAGTGTAGTACGACCCATGAAGGTGACATCGAGAGTCAATCCTGTCTGGCCCTTGAGTAGAGTCAGGTTGCTGCCATTTCTCAGTTTCGCCTTGAGGAATGCTACAGGCTTGTACTTGGCGACGACCGTGTGGCTGAAGGAGACACTGGTAAACGTGACCCGAGCGACGCGTTGCTTGGAGACTGTAGAAGATGGAGCAAGAGTCTTGAGGCCGGGAAGGTCGTAGGTGCTTGTGAAACCAGTCTCCTCGAATGTGGAATCCTGAAATGCGAGCTCAGGTTGGGGTTCTATGAAAGAGGCGGAGTATCCTTCGTCTTCGTCGCAGTTGACTTCGGTCTCGGGTATCTCTAGACTATACACGTCGCTACGACGAGAAACCGGCGCAGCAGGTGGAGGGGCGGGTCTAGCCGTAGTACCGAATCCGAATAGGGCACCAGCACTGGACTGGATGTTGGCAACGCCAAAACCAGTAGATTGAGGTTGATTATTGGTCTGGACACGCTGGAGACCTTCTGTGCCGCGGTTATTTGCAGGAAGCTGGCCGAAGAGACTGCCTGTGGTGTAGGGACCATCAACACCGAACATATCCGAGCGCGGTTTCTGCGAATGGCGAAAAGTCTGCTCATTCCAACCGGCCTTGTGTGACTGTTCATCCCGAGAGTACATGATGTCCGTATATGCACCAGAACTCCCCTTGCCTGCAAGCCGGACTCGCCAAGGGACGAGGGTGGGGATGGTGTCGTTCAACCTAGAGAAGTCAGTCTGGGACGTGGACAGGATTACCTTGCAGTTGCTCCATGTTTCCGAAGTCATGTTGGTCAGCCGGGAATCGAAACACAGATGGCCCGAGTTGGACGTGGTCGATAAGGCCAGGTCGTAGCTGGGTGCCCAGTAAGCGTGGGTGGTAACGTAGCTAACAGAGAGATCACAAGAGATGGTGGACGCGTCAGATTCGCCTTGTTCGGATGCCTTGTCTGGAACAGCCTCGACCGTGTCGCTGGCCATGGAGTTATGACGCGATGTTATCGGGGTGAAGTTGGTAACGTCCAGGCTGATTTTGACCGTGTCAACATTCCTTGGCCAGAAGGATTCGCGCTCCTTGCGGATTCTAAGCCTTTCCTGGAGCATCTCCCTCTTTCTTCTGGTTCCCTTCTCGATCACCATAGCCTTTTCTCTGAGTCGTTTGGCCTTCATCTTGAGCGCCTTGGCTTTCTCCTTATCAGCCTGCTTAATCAGGCGATTCTCCTCCTTGGTCAGTCCGTCCATCTTCTTGGAGATCTCGCGACTTTTGATCATGCCGTTCATATGATCGCGAAATACTTTCACTCTTTCTGTTCGGTAAGTCTCAACGCCTTCCTCGATAGATGGAGCGGCCTGATCCTTGCGGTACGTCGTCAACATGCGGCTATAATCGTCGAGGATCTTCAGGCGAGTCTCAGCGCTCGCCACGATCTCCTTGGCACTCTTTTCCTCGTCGCGCAAGAGGCATATTTGCTCGCGCAATGCTTTGAGCTCCCCACTATCCTCGTGATCACCATAGTCTTCGTCTGATCCGGAATCGCTGTCCGACTCCTCGTCATCCGAGTCGGGGTATATGTCCTGAAAAATGTCGCGGTTGGGAAGAAGCTGAACGGCGATGTCCGTAATGATGGCTGGCCCAGTTCCTTCAACTTTGATGGACTGCTCATCGACTGTGGGCGACAAACCGACCAGAATGATCTGGTTCGGACCCGACTTCAATTGAACATCCTTGATGTCACGAAAGACCTCAGCTCGGGTGGGAAACAAGTTCACTGACCGAGTTCCCAAGTCGCGAACGTGGTATTTCTGCTTGGGTACATCGTCCATGCTGAGGGTTGGGGATGTTGGACGCGATTGATTTCGGGCACCTCTGATCGTTGTCTTCGTGATTGTGTATCAGGTCAGACGCGTGAAGCAAACGGTGCTTTTGGTGTTGAGGGGAGAAGAAAGAAAAGGAAGCACCGTCACAGCGAAGAGAGCCAATAGTTGTGTGCTTATATGATTATTAGCTTCTTTCACAACGGTAGGATTCAGGTATGAAGTAGCTTCCTCAGGTGCTGTCGCCTTCAGCTGCAGGCAGTCAATTGACTTTGTTTGAGCTCTTACTAGCAAAAATCAGTTGCCACCATGGGACTTTACCAAAGTAGTGGCTTTGGGGATGCGAATAAGTTTTGATTCAAGTGTCCTTGAAGATCCCGCGAGCTATGTCCTGATGGAAATCGCGTTCTTCAGCGAGTTTCAATTCTTGTAGATACGCCAGCGAAAACGCCAAAATATATCAGAAACAGGCAGCTATGGAGTTAAACAATCGCCACTATGATTGGCCGCAAAGCCCGTTGATCGACTGCCTAATTTGGGACAGGCATTTAGACCTTAACAACACCCATCACATGTTCTTCTTTCGAATGAGATGTGAGAGAAGTCGGGCCGGTGTCACTTATGGTTTTGTTCGTTGCTTTTGAGTCTCGTTGGAGAATCTCCTTCCAACACTATTGGGTTAGCTAAGGTGTGTAGAACAGGAGACCCAATGGGATCTCCAAAACATGGCCACCAATTCTCCACGATGCCAAACCGCCCTCCGCTAGCCGCCACCGCGGTCAGATTTGCTTGTTAGCAGCACAAAATTGGCACCGCTGCTTGCTTACCAGTGTCTTCTAAGAAATCGGATGGCCCGGTTTGCCTGCGGGGTAATATTTAAACGAGGGTGCCAGCTGAGCCACGGTGCCGGTTCAAAGCAGACATCGCCACCGTGGATGAGTTATCTGAACGAGACGAAGAATATAGGATGAAGTATCTCAAGCTTGGCCCATCACCTTCCCCATCTGGGAAACCATGGAGATTTGAGGTTCGGTGACCTTGGTTAGAACGAATCGACAACCCTGGTCGGAGGTTTTGGCATTCGCCGTAGCAGTCAGGACTACGCATATAAGAAGACAACTTCCCCTAGTAGCATGTGGGAAATCCGCGTTGGCATCGTAACACAACCGCAGAGCTGCAAAGCTGAAAATCTGCAATTCGGAAAAAATGGCGAAAGACCTCAAAACCCTCCCAGAGCGCTACTCCACTGCCTGGGCCGAGGAGGACCCCAAAGCATTACTCAACCTCGTCTCTGACGACTGCCTATTCACCGACCACGGTGCCCAAATTCGTGTTCCTCGTCCATTCATAGAGGGACACCACCGCAATTGGCGCGGAGCCCACAAAGACTTCGAGGTGTACGTCGACCCGGCCTTCCCTGTGTACTGGATCGACGTCGACGAAGCGAAGGGGAACGCGAAGTGCAGTTTCCGGACTGTGAACAAGGGCGTCTTCGTGAACGACCTCCCGCGTCGAAAAGCCACTGGAATGCCATTCCAGTACTCAGGAGTTGTAGACTTGGAAGTCCAAAATGGGCTGGTCACGAAGGCCGATGAGTGGTTGAGGGTTCCTTTTGAGGATAGTGTGTCGGTGGAAGAGTACATTGTTATTTCGGATGAAACTCGGAAGAAGATTATGGCGGAACGGGATGCGGGAAAATAAGAATCGTTCGGGGCATTGTTTCTTCCCACAAGGATAATGCGAGCAGGGGCTTCCATACTTTATAGTACATCAGTATGAACAGATGCTTGGATCTCTTGAAGTTAGTTCTCACGAGACGTCGATTACCTACCCGCAAACTGCACGCTGAGACTGTTCTTCATGCCAGCAACCGTGAACAGATAAATCCGCCAATCTGATCCATAGCGTCGGGAAATGCCGATTACGCGTATTTAGATAACCACACTAGGTTAGTGCACTGCATTACGCCAAGAGGCCTACGATACCAGCAATTTTGAAATGAGAAATTCACCCTGTCTCAATGGTTCACTTGCTTAGGCTGCCTGCGGTCGGATTCAAGGGGCATTAGTGAATAGAGACGCGCGTATCTCAGGTCCAAGCCTCGTTGAACGCCTCGCTAAACTTATCACAAGGCAGAAAAACACACCTAAACGGCGCTCCACGCTCTCAGCCATACGTTTCACAGAAGAAGAGCGCGTTCGAACGGGTATGAAAGGTCGATATCTGCTAGATTGACAACCCGCCAGAACGCATGGGGTCAGGGAAAACTTGATCTCAAAACAGGTGTTCAACAGGCTTTCTGTCCGCGTATTACTTGAGAACAGACCATAAAACTGTCGCACCGATTCCACACCACCGGTAACATGATGCGGAGGTCGCATAGAAAGAGCCGGAAAGGTTGTTTCGAATGCAAGAGGCGACACATCAGGGTAAGTCGTGTCTCCCACCACCGCTGAAATCAGCCTAATGAGTCCCGCCCGTACTCCCACCTCTTCTGAGCTGACAGGCGCCGTAGTGTGATGAGCAGCACCCCCAATGCATTGCCTGTCTGCGAGCTGATCGGGTTTGCACATACCCCGACACGCAAACGGGAGTCCAGCCAACCACGCCGGTACCTGCTTTGGCATCAGTCCCCTCTTCTACTGGCTCCAACAGTCCGGCCGTAGACACCGCAGTCGGGACACCGACTAGTTCCATCACTTCGCCGCAAACGCACTTCACCCAGCCGGTCGACCTTTTCGCGGATAACGGCGACCTCATCCACTCCGATGGCAATTGCAGCATCAACTTTTCGCACTTGGAGCTATTCAATCACTTTACGAATCATTATCATCTCCTGTTCGGCGATGAAGACAATGATATGCCGCGATGCCAGGTACAAGTCACCATCAAAGCAGCATTTCAAACACCTTACTTGATGTACGAGATTCTCGCGTTCTCGGCACGTCAATTGAGCGTTGAGGCTGGCCCGGAAAAGTGCCAGTTCTACTCAGACCAGGCCACCAAATTGCAAAGCCGCGCTATCAACATGTTCAACTCGGTCGCGCCGGTGCCAGATGGGCCGAACTGTGTTGGCATGTTCCTGTTCTCCACCCTCATTGGCATGCATCTCATGTCAGACACGATAGCCTTCAGAGACTCTGAGCTGGATCCCTTTTTGACACGGTTTCTGAACTACCTACGCCTCCATCGTGGTGTACGAGCCATCTCAAGCAACTGCTACAACCTGCTCATCCAGTCGGAGCTAGAACCAGTCCTGGCGTGGGGTGTCAAGATGGCCGGCGAAAAGGGTGAAGGTCACGAGTGCGACGCCGTCCGTCAGCTGATATCTGAAGCAAGTGACCTCTCGGAGGACGACATCAACGCAAGCCACGGAGCCATCGAACATCTCCAGTTCGTGTTTGACGGCAGTGGGCCACAGCAGCAATTAGGTCGTCGGGTTCATATGGCCTTTTCCTGGCCACTTTTGATTTCCGAGGCCTTCACCGAGCTGCTCTACCAGCGAAGGCCTGTGGCGCTCATCATTCTCGCCTACTATGCTGCCATGCTTCACTATTGTCGTGATTTGTGGATGGTGGGCAGCGCGGGACGACATATTGTTCGACTAATCACCAAGTTCTTAGGCTCACAGTGGACTCCGTGGCTTGCTTGGCCAAACAAGGTGGTCAATGATGACTCGTGATGTCCATTTCAGCCAGGTTGCGATACCTACGTTTGGACATTGGGGGCAACGCCCACCGCCCGACCCTCTTTGAGCCGCCTGTTTCGCTCCGCAACTAATGTTTTTCAACCAAGCAAACACTATTTACGAAGTGATCAAGCATGCTACCAATCCAGCACTCCCGCGCCGCTTAAAGGAAAAGACGCTACTTCCGTTGAGCAAACATGGGCCTGGTGTTTGAAGTGTCTTTATACTAAATCCAACTCATTCACCGCCGTCGCGTTTGCCGTCAGGGCAAGCTTGATTCAGTTTGGCAGATAGCCATGTCGACGGAAAACTTCACCCGCAAGCTCGTCATGAAGCGGATTGTCGGTTTCAGGCTGATTCTTACAGTGTCTCTCGCCGCACAATCAAGGCTGTGGTATTACGCGACAAGTCACTCACTTCATAGCAGCAAACATGCGGTGTCAGCCCTACGTGGGCTAAAGTAGCACACTCTCGTCAGTTGCCCCAATGGATAAATACTCCTACCGCTTCTAATGAGCGAAAACCAGCGCCTGCCCATTTCTACCATAATCCCACCGAATTTGCTCGTGATAGATAAAGTATTGACAACAATGAACGCTATCGCCCACCACTCGGGAGGAGGTGGTGCGAGGAATAGATATCTGATCCAGCTACCACCATCCGGTACGGCAATGCTGCCCAGAGGCGCACGGTTCGGGAGTAGCACCCTTCCTGGATGGTCCATCCCGCCCCAGGGCCCCTTTTTTGTGCCTCCACCGCCGCCTCCCCTCTACGGTGGCCCACCAACTGGTGGCTACGCCGGCGGCGTATTTTACCAAGCCGGTATCCAACCAACCTCACCACCCCCCACGAACGCCCCCCGCCGCGACCGGCCCGTTGAAGTGGTCACCGATGGTGGCGTCTTCCACTGCAGCCGCGATGACATTCTATATCACCTACCCAACGCGCGATACCACTCACTGGGCCGCCACTTCTTCCCCAAGAACTTCATCGCGACCCCCAACCGCGCGGCCTCGACCCTTGACGCCCTCCGGCACATCTTCCGCGGCCTGGAAAACTACCGCAACACGGGTCAGCCCTTCGAGCTGTTCGAGCGCGCCGACAGCATTCTCGACAAAGCGAAAGACGGGCGGTACGGGTTCGCCGAGGCGGCGCGGTTCTACATTGGTGTGTGCAATGCGCTCGACAAGGAATGCGGGCTGGGATGTAGCGATGAGTTGCTGGTCCAGATTGACGATTTTGTTGTGGGATTAATGGAGATGGTGGATAATCAGGTCCAGCCGACGTATATCAGGGAGATTCTGTTTGCGTATGCACGGGTCTTCCAGCCTAGCACCCCGAGGCATATGGAGACCTTGCGTACGCTGTGGGGGCAGATCCCGGATTCGTTGAAGCCGATGTTGGTTGGCGAGATCAATAAATGTGCTACGGCGCAGCCGAAGTCGGTGGTTTGTCAGGCTTTTGCGAGGGCCATGAAGGATATGTGTTTTGTTTGAGGGTCGGGTTATGATTGTGAGTTTCGGTGAGGCTTGCAGGTGGACATTATGTAATGGGAATCGAGGTTACTTCATAAATTAGGGTTTCAATTAATGATGCTGTAGATTCAGGTAACTTCGGAGCGACCTTGCACAGTGGTACCTTTTGTAAGCAGCGGGGGCGCTCACTGGTTAAGATTAGGGCGCTGGTGAAGGCCCTGGTTAGGCACTACCTTCGCCAGTTCTCAGCAGGGCATTTAGATTGGCCAATAAAATGCCACTTGGTCAGCAAGGAACAAGAGAAAGCCTGCCAGATATAATAATTTGAGGCATCTCCGTCACTACCTAGCAACCGCAACCACGTTGAGTTCAATTACTGCAACCCATGAACAAGTCGTTCTGTCGAAGTTTTCACTACGTATATGTTGAATTACACGTATCTGACCAATAAGGCTGACGTGAATGATTGATGTGTCTATTTGATCTGACCGTAATCTGGCCGTGGCCTTGTTATGACTTGGTTATATGGATGAAAAATTACTCCGGTGTGGCTGTTGGGTGTGGAGAGTTCTACAGACACTTTCTCATATAAGCTCTTTGGTTGGTAGTGGGAGTTGGAACGCCTGTTTCTGCCGTTCACTCTGTACTATTATTGCCTTGCAGCCTAATCGTTCCTGACAAAAGCTGCCCGAATCCAGCCAAGTCTTCTCTTTCAGCCGAAACATCGTACACTACACGAGCACGTCGGTCAGTCAGCCCGCCGCCTATACAGTCTCATTTCTTCGATGGTACCGTAGCAGATGAGGAGCCGTAACTTTTGGCTGAGGAAGAGGAGGATGACGCGGGTATAGCTCCTTGCCAGACCTGTGAATACTGACCTACTATAAATCGCAGCTTAACCGCCTAAGTGAACGCAACACAGGTAAAATCACAATTAAAAGCAGAAAGAGAGACAGAGAGAGAGAGAGAGATAGTATGAACTGATCTGTCTATCTCAAATGTGGTAGTAGTGGTCGTATGAATCTACCGTTCGGCTCCAATATCAACCGGGCCTGTTGGTGTATCTAGGCAAATAACACCGCTGGCCTCTAGGACCCTAGAGCACCTTATAGATTTTAGTGTCGTACTCGGTATCTAGCTTCAGCTAGACGTAATCCTTAACGTGCTTGAATTCTTGATGCGTGCACCTAGGGGGGAGGATGCTATAATGCAGCAGTGCGCAACGTTATAGTATCTAATTGAATGGGATTCACCTAACCAGTGGGTCCCCCTAACTTTTCGTATCAGTTCTGTATAGTACAGACCTTACTAGTATCGAGGCCCGGAACGGGCGTTTGGATTTAGAGAGTTACGTTAGTAGTACTACTACTTGGATTTGATGTTCCCGTTGAAGGAGCAAAAGGAGGGCACATATGCCTAACCTGTCTGTATTGTAGCTAACTCTGGTCCTCTCTTCGAGGGTCTATGTATGGAAACAAAAGGGTTCTTATATAGTCAATGAATGGTAGACTTGCTGATTAATTCAGACAAGTTGTAGAAGCATATAGATAAGTAGGGAATGTTCTATCCTTGCCACATTTCTCGTAATAGAGGTATGTGGGGATGGTCGCCGTTCTAGGTGGCGATAGTGGCAAGTATAGGACCCACATGGCCCACAGGGCCCATATTGTCCAACTCTACTACTAACGTAACCCACAAGCAAGTTGGCCACTTTTTCTTGGCACCGTACGAACAACCTTTTAATTAACATCTTTACACATACCAAGATGGGATCGAATTGGAAAGAAAGCGACATGATTCTAGCGTGTCAGGCGCTTCAATCGAAACCCGAATTAAGCATCCGACGCGCTGCCCAACTCTACAATGTCCCTCGTACAACTCTAGCTAACCGAAAACGCGGACTACTATCTCGACGCGATACTCGACAATCTAGTCATAAGCTTACGGAATCAGAAGAGTTAGCGGTCGTACAATATATACTTAACCTAGATTCGCGATCATTTCCTCCCCGGCTCCATGGTGTTGAAGCTATGGCTAACCGACTGCTCCGTGACCGTGGCGCTGGACGCGTCGGCGTCAACTGGGCCTCGAACTTCGTACGACGACAACCAGACCTTCGGACGCGTTTTAATCGAAGAATCGACTACCAACGAGCCTATTGCGAAGATCCTGACGCGTATCGCGCGTGGTTTACGCTCGTACGATATACAATTGCGAAATATGGTATCCAAGAGGCGGATATCTATAACTTCGACGAGACAGGGTTCGCGATGGGCTTAATCTCATCCGAGATGGTAGTTACAAGTGCCGAACGACGCGGAAGGCCTCGTACAGTCCAACAAGGCAATCGAGAATGGGCTACAGTAATCCAGGGTATTAATTCGTCCGGCTGGGCTATCCCGCCGTATATTATTGTCGCGGGTCAAAACCACCTCTTATCCTGGTACGAGAATAGCCCATTCCCGTCCGATTGGGTAATCGCTGTAACCAAAAACGGTTGGACAACAAATGAGCGAGGCGCAGACTGGATTCAGCACTTTGATCGCTATACGAAGGATCGTAAGAAGGGTGTTTATCGTCTTCTTATCCTCGACGGGCATGAGAGCCACCAATCGACTGACTTCGAGCTATATTGCAAAGAGCATACTATCATTACACTTAGTATGCCTGCTCATTCGTCACATAAGCTCCAGCCTCTCGATGTAGGCTGTTTTAGGGCTTTGAAAAGGTCGTACGGCAAAGAAATTGAAGACCTAATACGGGCGCATATAACCCATATCTCGAAGGAGGATTTCTTTTCGGCATTCTCTAGGGCGTATCGTACGACTGCAACTAAGTCGAATACCCAGGCAGGTTTCAGGGGGACGGGAATTATTCCGTACGACCCGAAATATGTGGTTTCACAGCTGGATATTAAGCTACATACGCCTATACCTCCTGGGAGCTCGTCTGGCGCCCCCTTAATCTGGGAATCAAAGACTCCAAATAACCCAACCGAGGCGCAATCCCAGTCTGAATACGTTAAAAACAGAACCATACAGCATCAGAATAGCTCCCCGACGACAATACTTACGGCTATTGACCAATTTTCACGTGGTGCGACGGCTGTTATGCATCGGTTAGTTTTACTTGAGGATGAGGTTACTACACTTCGGAAGGCCAATCAAGAGCTAAGCCGTCGTCGAAGGACTAAAAGTCGACAGCTACAAGATGGAGGATCTCTTAGTTTACGAGACGCTCAGGACTTACAGTCTCAACGGGATATTGAACAGCAGCTACAGGATGATATACGTGTAAGTCGTCGTCGTACGAGGCGCTGTAGGATCTGCGGAGAGCCCGGACATAATGCTCGTACTTGTGAGAATGATAAAGATACGTACGAGGAAGAGGATTCCGATTAGTTTGAATTATTATTTTTTAGTTTAGTTAAGTTATTGAAGTTATTCATACGGTGCCAAGAAAAAGTGGCCAACTTGCTTGTGGGGTACGTTATACAGATCAAGTATGGTGAAGTTCTCCATCCGGCGGAATTGTATGATTTTGAGATGTTGATTGCACTGCCTTGCTTGGCCGTCGGATAGAACCCCACATCAGCTTCCTGAGTGGTCCTGAGTATAACGAATGCGGTTCAATCATCCTGCAGCATAATCGTGGTGACCTGCATTGCTTGGTAGTCCAGCGAGTGCAATTAATCACGGCATTTCAACTCAACCCGCCAGATATAGACCTGGTATTCACATCACAAATAGCCTAGACCCCGCAGTTGATTGAATCTCGACGCCCCCTGCTTCTCAATCCCGGCCAAAGAAAGGATTGAATTCATATATCTCTGTCCGACAAGGTTTCCGCAATCTCTCAAACTCAAAGTAATGACCCTTGGCCTGGTGCCACTGTGGCTATGTACATACATGATTAGCTCCCGGCTAGCCCAGGAACGTGCGAGAGAAGAAAACGACATAGAAAAGGCCTTTCTCCCCGGCAAAGTGAGCTTGTTCGTATACCCCAGCGGATTTTTGAGTGTGCCATCAGCTCAACTTGGGGTTTGCCGACCTCGAGCTAAGAATCGCAATCGCCGTAACCGTCACAGGGTCTCATGTTGTCTGGTCATTCATTCATCATAGCTTCTTCGAGAAATGCGCCCTGAACTTCTTGTTCGAGCGGTCCGCTGATCGATGTTGGAACTGGTCGCCATGGATCTCAAATATAAACATTTTCTTCTGCTCAGGCTCTAGCCGATCCCGCTTGTCGTTCGCATCTTCCGTCGGCACTTTAACTCGAAACAAGGTCGCCTCTTTCGGCACGAGCTTGATCTCGTTCGTTTCCGTTATAACCTGAAAGGCAAACTTGGAGTCCTTGACCACAATCCCCTTGATCCCCACACGGCTCGGACACCCACTCCGAGACACCTCGACTTCAGCACCGTGAAAATCAGCCGCGCTCAGCTTCGCCCCCGCGACCTGGACCCCCATGTACAGCTCGCTGCCGAGTATCTCGCGGATATATCCTACCCATAGTCTGTTCAGCGGCGCAAAGATTTCGTACTTTTGCCCCTCCTTGGGTATATTATGTAGACCAAGTTTCCGGCGCTCTCGCGAGGATAAGGGTTTCGGCTTCAGCGCATTTGCGCGTTTCTCTTTGTGCTGCAGTGCTTTTCGACGTGCTTCGCGAGAATTTGCTGACGGCGGGGGGGAACTCGGTCGTAGGAGGAGAGATCGATGTTTGATTTTCTCGTTGTAAATGCGTGAAGTGTTGCTGGGGCTGTGTGCGCGGGAGAGCAGCTCTTGGGTCAGCGATCCCTCGAAGGGAGGTTGGGATGCCATAGGTGAGGACGTCGTACGGCAGGGCCGCTCGTCGTCGCCCTCCTCGTCCCTGATAGGGTATGTTGGAGGCCGCTATTGGAAGTTTGGGATGGATACGGACTGCAAGTTGTAGAAGCTCCGAAAAATTGGGGTTGCTAGAGCTGAGTTCAAGGCTACCAGCTGGGATTTGGTGGGGTAAGCGCCACCAACCGGCTCTCGCTGCTAGAGATAGTGCATTGCCGGCGGCGAAACATCAGTGTTCACATGCCTAGAACCACCTCGGCTTAACTGCATGACAGCGCAGATCGACCCATGATCCAACGGGTTGGAGACCAATGCGCCATATCTCCGAAAGGCATGGCTTTCGGGCTACCAATGAGATCAAAGTCAATCAAGTTGTGACACTTCGAAGTCGATTGCTTCCACTTTGTGTTAGCTTTCCGAAGTCCGGCCATGAGGAATTTGGATTGCACTTCCAAGGCTCGTAAACACTTCGTTCTCCCACTGCGGCCACCTCGACCGGACGAGAAGGCCCCGCGCCTGTTGAGATTTTGATACAACGAACACGTTCGAGTGTACAGTTACGATACGGATCGATTCGTTGTATATTTAAGAGTTAGAAACCGGACAAAAAAGAACATGTCGCAAGACGATGACCCGACACGCAACTCGGCGCCGGACCTCCAGATCCTCGGCGACCAAATCACCCTCCAACCGCGAAGCTATATCGAGTCGACTCAAGATGGCGAGAAAGAGGAAGCGTTGATGCAGCACATGGCTCGGTTCCGCTCCGAGCCACTCCAATTCCTTCGTGAGGTCTCGCTGTACGTCTCGGGCACCGGATGGCGCGCCTACGATAAGGTCATCGGGCAGCCCATCTTCTACTCGGGGTTTTCGGAGCAAATGAAGAACTCGGTCGTGTCGGCGCCCCTATTACAGACTCGCATATCCCAATTGGCCGACATGAGGCTTGAGGTTGAGGAGAAGGAAGGCTGGCTCAAGAAAGATGAAAAGAACTTTGCTTTTAAGAGGTCTGCTAGACGTGCCGTAATTGAGCAGGGACTGCAAGAGGTGGCCGACAAGTTGACGAATGATATGATTTGCAAATTTGAGAGCAAGACATTTATAAGAGGCGCATATTATCTAGTGACCCAGCTGTTGACGAGGGCGTACCATCAAGGCAAGTCGAGATGCGACATGATTCTGCGTCAATGGGCTAACTGAAGGCAGGTATTCATGTCTCTAGCGAAGAAGTACTGAGGTTGCGCAAGGTGGCTGAACTTGCCGCTACCAAAAAGCAGAGCATCATCTTCCTGCCGTCACACCGATCCCATGTTGACTATGTCTCAATGCAATTGATATGCTACCGTCTGGGGCTTGCTCTCCCAGTCGTAGTCGCCGGTGACAACCTCAATTTCCCCGTCGTGGGGAGTTTCTTGCAACACGCGGGAGCAATGTGGATCCGACGACAGTTCGGAAACGACTCGATGTACACCACTCTGGTTCAGGCCTATATTGACACGTTACTTCAAGGCGGATACAACTTCGAATGTTTCATCGAGGGTGGCCGGTCAAGAACAGGAAAGCTCTTGTCACCCAAGTTTGGAATTCTCAGTTTTATTATGGACAGCGTTCTGTCCGGCCGTGTGGAAGACGCCATCATATGCCCCGTGAGCACACAATACGACAAGGTCATCGAAACCGAAGGTTACGTGACGGAGCTCCTAGGAGTGCCCAAAAAGAAAGAAAATCTTGCGGATTTCCTCAGTGGCGGGTCGTCCGTGTTGTCATTGCGCCTGGGTCGCGTCGATGTTCGTTTCCATGAACCATGGAGTTTGAGGGGCTACGTCAACGAGCAACTGGCGAAACTCCCCAAAATACCCGAAGACTTGACAGCCAAGTCTCCAGAAGTCACAGCTGTCCGTCAAAAGCTGTTGCGAACGATGGGCTACAAGGTCTTGTCGGATATCAACGACGTGTCGGTAGTGATGCCGACGGCTCTGATCGGGACAGTGGTGCTCACTCTTCGTGGTCGTGGCGTGGGGAAATCGGAACTGATCCGTCGCATCGAGTGGCTGATTGCCCGTGTGCGAGCCAAGGGTGGCAGAGTGGCCCACTTTGGCAATGCGCCGTTGTCGGATGTGATAGAACGCGGCTTGGAAGTGTTGGGGAAGGACCTTGTTGGCGTCGTCCAGGGCCTCGCTGAGCCCACATATTATGCGGTTGACCGGTTCCAGCTGTCATTCTACCGCAATATGACGATACACTTGTTCATCTCTGAAGCACTTGTGAGCGCAAGCATGTACACTCGGGTAAAACAGGGTGGTGGGCCTGCGCACCAAGAAATCGGGTACGATTCGCTTCGCACCCAGGTCCTATTTCTGTCATCACTGTTCCGCGGGGAGTTCATCTTCCCCAGCGACGGTCTGGCTTCGAATCTAGAGAAGACATTGATGGGTCTCGAGAGCGACGGCATTATTCACCTCAAACGTGACGATAACGGTGCCCCTCTGAGCATTGGACTCTCAGAGGAGGAGCGCGTGGCTGGCCGAGAAAACTATGACTTTTACTGTTTCCTAATCTGGCCGTTCATCGAGGCAAGCTGGCTGGCGGCGATCTCACTGATGGGACTGACACCGCCACATGAGGCGCAAAAAGAGGATATCTGGATCGAGGTCACCAAGGCCCAGAACAGTGCACAACTTGTAAGTCACTACAACCCCTCGACCACAAGACTGGGTTCAGAAACTGATACTCTACAGCTGGGCAAGACACTATACCATCAAGGTGACCTCTCATACTTCGAAGCAGTGAACAAAGAGACCCTGAAGAACGCATATCAGCGGTTCGAGGAAGAGGGTATTATTTATGCCGTCAAATCTAAAGACACCAAGGTTCCGCCACGCCTTCGGATAGCATCCGAGTGGCTGCCCTCGCGGGATCCGTCGACTGGCGCGCTGGTTGCGAAGGGTCGATTGTGGGATTTCACCGAGCGCATCGCAAGTTCTCGTAGGGAAGGCAAGAACCGCCGTGATGGGGCGACGGTCAGTACCAGAGTATTGGCTCTGACAGACTTGCTAGGACGCAAGCTGTTTGATGAGGCCGTCAGCAGTGGGGCTAGCCAAGACAGTGCTCAATTGACTGCTGAAGAGGCGGCGAGGGTTAAGAGAGAGCTTAGGGAGGTGAGAATGAGGAGGAAACTTGAGGGAAGGGCAAATTTGTGATTGAACCCAATTCAAACCCTCGGAAGTCAATAGAGACTGTTTGGGACCAACTACTCACGAATATTGTATGAGTTTGGGAACCATTGTCCTACCGGTGTAAGATAGTGGCATCAACTGGACTCATTTGCCACATGGTCCCTTCTCCTCGTATTACGGAAGTTTATAGGTCTTCCAATGACAAGTAAATCGTAGTAAAGGGGCTTAATAGTGGATGGGTTCTTTATCTAGGGATTGCATCCTAGTTCTACTCAACTGTTACAATAACAAACACGGCTCACCTGGAAGCAAAGGTCATGATACAGCCCGTGGTTGACGTAGCGGGATTCATGTCTGCCCGCGCTTCACAGCCACAACAATTCCAGGATCGGCAAGACTGCTGTAGTCTTTAATGGGCAGTTTTCATAACTAGAAACTTGGGCGTACCTGAAGACTATCTGTCTTTGACCACTGGCACTTCATCGTCATACGGGTTAATCCTCCTTTGCATTGACCTCATGCCAAGACCGGAGAAGCATAAAGGTGCTACGGTTCTGTGTACGCGTGGTTTAGACTTCACTGAATGGTCGTATTAGTAGGGTTGCGTAATCAATCTTAATGAGTACTGGATGAAATGGTATTTATTAGAGATATATAGCAACTATCCATTCTGCAATGCATTCTCTAGTTTTGTCACACTTGATTTTAGCGAATTATTACTGTCGAGGTCAATCTTGACGTGTAATTCGAGAGATAATCGTACAAATATGTGGAATATGCTGAAGAGCAAGCCGGCAGCACTTGCTGCAGTGCCATCCGATCAAGTGATCCCTCTTTGCTACTTTGACGACAATGCGGATCTTCGGGGGATGCTTCTCAGTGTTATGCTCAAGTTCGACGACAAACTTGACCCCGACAAGCTCAAAACATCACTTGAGGAACTGCTTCAGAGAAATGGCTGGCGGAAACTTGGAGCCAGGTTGAGGCTCAACGTAAGAAATTCATTCATCATCAGGCAGGCTAGCTGACCAAAAGTCAGGACCAACAAATACTCGAATACCACGTGCCCGAGACATTCAACGAGAGTCGCTCAGCATTTTCTTTTACACACGAGAAACATGACATGCATATCGCCGAACACCCCATTGCAAGCCACCTACCACTGCCAACGCAAGAGCCATCAGTTACGGCAGACCCCTATCGCTTTCACGACTTGATGCGACGGCCAGATGGACCAAAGAAGCTTGCTGACTATTTGAATTCGGACGAACCGCAATTAGGGGTTCACATCGTGTCTTTCGACGACGCTACTTTGGTATCCATATCCTGGCCCCACACTCTCTTTGATGCGGGCGGTTTGAAGGGACTTCTGGACGCGTGGTCACTGGTTCTTCGAGGAAGACCTGACGAAGTGCTCCCCACGCACAGCATCGAAAGCGATCCTCTGGCGGAGCTGGGAAGGAATGCCACTGAACCGTGCAAGGTTGCGGACCGACAACTTGGGCAATGGGGCATGATGTCTTTCGGATCCCGGTACGTTCTCGATGTGCTCTGGCACGGCGTGGAAACCCGTATGGTCTGCGTACCCGGCGTTTTCATCAGAAAACTACGAGAGGCCGCAATACAAGAGCTCAAGGCCGAGATGAGCGAAGGTAACGAGCAAACTTTCTTGAGTGAAAGCGATATTCTGTGTGCCTGGTGGACACGGCTAGCAGTATCACACCTTCCTCCCTCTGGCACCACAGTCACAGTCTCCAACACGTACGATCTCCGCGGTATAATGGCAAAGGAGATGCTACCAGCAGACAAAGTTTACCTCGCCAACGCGTGTACAGCACTACCAGTACTCTTGTCTGTAAAGGACATCGCCGGCAAACCACTCAGCTTCGTGGCATCTGCCATTCGCCGTTCCATCAGGGAACTCGGCACACGGGAGCAGGTCGAAGCAATGGCAGCTACCGTCCGCGACACATTCCCAAAGACGGGACATTACCCCATATTCGGAGATGCATCCATGCACCTGATTAATTGCTCGAACTGGACTAAAGGTCGGATCTTCGAGACTGATTTCTCGAGCGCGATTGTTCCCGCAATTGGATCAAAATTTCCACATTCAGAAAAGCAGGGCACGCCATCTTATACTCAAGTCTGTGGCTGCTTCAGCCTGGAATTGCTGAATGGGGTTACCATAATGGGTAAAGACCTCGATGGTAACTTTTGGCTGTCTGGGACGTTGAGAAAGGGACTCTGGGCTGGAATTGAGCAGTCACTCAGCAAGGCTGAAGACTGAAAGTGAACAAGCAATCCAGAATATGTTGATGTTAGAATACTCAAGGTCTGGAATTAGTGTAGACCTGTGGTTAACTACGGGACAACATGAGCTGATTAAGATAAAACATTCCGATGAGACACTAAAAATCAGGACAAATGATTTCTATAGTCTAGTTTTCAGATTTGAAAAAGTCTTTGTAGCTGGGATTGTGGCTAGGGGTTCTGCCGAAGAGTCAAATGACACCAAGTAAATGTCGATGGATATATCACCTTCTACAGAAAGCCATCACCGTCATTCTTATACTCAACTACCTATGCTGGCTGTGGCGGATATCATGTTGTGATGCCCTATGCCATGCTTTGTGTTGTGATCACCCAGTGCGTCGACAGTCAACTTTTAACAAGCCATTAGTTGCATATGCAGCAGGAACATACGCTAGCAGGGCGCCTTCTCATGCACTGCGTCTAAAACTCCTAGAATGAGCTCTAGTATGTAAGCCGTAGGGCACTACGGCATTGCCAATATGTGGGGTATACTATTTGAGGCTCTAATGTCGCCTAACCCCGAGTCATTATTGAGCTGCTGAAACAGATGCTTGGCACCTCATTTAGCTTCATCTAGACTATCGTTTACGTGTGTGGCTGAGAAGACCGCCGTCCATGACGGCGTGAAGGCTCGATCGGAGGTGGTTCGATTGGCCGAGTCTCTAGCCTAAGTTTGTCTTCTGCCGTGATATTCAGTTCACGATTTCTAGCTTGGTGCAGTGGCATCCATGTCAGCTTGAGCAATTTTCAAATGGTCAAGCGTCCATAAGACAACTCCGAAATACGGTCTATATGGGGGACCTCGGCAAGGGTAATTGGATATAAAGATCGTCACTATTTCTCTGTTCCTTTAATTTGTTCGGTCATCAGCTCCATCACTGGAACAGTCACATATCCAACTCCTCTTTACAACAACACGAATTCCTATCTTGATACAATATTTTGCATCGTTATGTTTAACTCTATTATCTCCCTCGGCCTTTTCGGTCTAGCCTCCGCAGTGCCACTGACTTCGCGTCAACTGCCCAACTACCCTCCATCGTCCTCTTCCACAGGCTTCAAGCTAGTCGTCAATGTTACCGACCCGGCACATGATCTTTCTCCTTCCGTCAACGGCCTATTCTTACAAGCCATACACACTGGCGCTGGCCTCAATGATGCAGTTCTGCAGGTCGATGGCAGGATATTCTACCAAAATGGTGTGTACACGAAAACATGCTTCGCATATACCATCAATACTGAATTATTCCAGGCACTGCCGACGAGATCCGCTACAACCAAGGCAACATCTTGACCGACGGCGGCAACCCACCCTTCCCTAGCGGCATCGACGTTCAGAACAAAGACACAACCGACGCCGATGGCAAGCACGAAGTCGCCATCAATGGCGGCGCGGGCACCAAGGGCGTATCTCTCGCTTTGTTCCCGGTCCCTTACACCATACTTACCTTTATCGCCCGCGGCACTTTTGTAGCGTGCGATCAGTTCGTTCCCTACTACAAGCAGAACTTCATCACCATTCGCTATGCTTACGACATCATCAACCCACTTACCTCTCAATTCGAGCATGACATCCCTCAGGGATGTGTGGCTATCAACTTAATTCCTCAATGCGATGTACTGCCCCAGCTTCCTGTTCCGGCTATTGCCAGCCACCAGTTTGCTGCCAATGTCAAGTGCTATCCAGATGTTCGGGCGATCGACTGGACAAAGTATGGCCCTTGAAGCCGTTGGGACATGATGACAGGATTGAGAAAAAGAGAAGTTAGTGCCTGCCTTGTTACAGTATCCATGTAGACTTTATATAGAGATTCCCATACCGTTTGATGTTGAAATTTATACCTGACGCTAAATATTCTGCAATTGCCTGAAATGTGATGCCGTCATACTATGCTGAAGACAAAATAAGTATATGGGAGGCTGCGTTCTGAATATGGCCTGGGCACAACGACCGGAAAGATGTGGTAATAGGAGTTGACATTAAGTTGTATGATTCTTCTATTCAGTGAATTCTTAAGAAGTTTCCAACGATGGGTAAATCACAATTAGGGTTATAGTGACTCGGCCCGGTCACAGCTGTAGCCTGTTCTACCCCCTCACTTGAGTCCTAACCCTAGCCCTTACTCTACCCTAACAATAACCTCAGCTTCGCTCTTGACCTACTGGTCTCATTATTCGTAAAATAAAATGGATGTACTGGTTGCAATAAGATTTTTTTGAAATGCTATAGATGAGATTAACATCACCGGCAAGCAGCTTCTAAAGAATCACCGATGACGTCATCTGGCACTTGTGACATCTGAGTCATCTTGCTTCCGCGTCCCCACCATCGAGGAGCAATTGCGAAGCTCTTAAGACTTCATATCATCAAACACGAATCGCCGAAGTAGCGATAAGTCTGTACAGCACAGCCTAACAGTTCTTTCAGCAATTCATCATCGGATTTTACACAATGGACCCTAACAATCCCCTCGCGGATCGTGAGAAGGCTTTGGAGAACGAATACATCAAGAAGAAGGAGTACGTCCCCCCCGTAATCTCCATCGTGTCATATAGTTGTGCTGTCTCCCTAAATTTACATAGCTGATAGCATAACAGGCAGCAGATGGCTAAAGACAGAGCCATGCACACCAAGGCTGCCAAGGACAAGTCTACTCAGACGGAACCTGCTAAGGGGACCCAAAGCTGAGGGATGGGGGCAGACTAGGCGAACATCATTCTAAAAAGATTACCAAGCACAGACTGCAGCGAAAATATACTATAAATACTGCTGGGCATGCAATGAATACTTCACATGGCTTTCTTGGGACTGAATTCGCTCGCTTCTTTTGCTGGTAACGCCAGCACGTGCAATACAGCATCATTATGAGCTGGAGACATCCTCTTCATGGAAGAGCCTAGGTTTGATATAATGATCCTGTTAATTCCATCCTTGTATCACTGACCATTCTCAATTTTTGCAAGACGTCTTGACATGACTCTCTCAAGGTTTCGACGTGAGGAATGCTTGAAACACTGGAGTAAGATGTATGATAAAAACTTGATTTATCAAAGTGCGAGAACCTTGAAATCCTTGTTCAATATCGTGGGACAGCCGTCTGCGAGGCCGCTATGGCCAACATTAAATATAGGTATCAGTAAGCCCTGCCACACCTTTGTTTGGCCAAGGCAACGCCCTCCAATCATTAGGCATTAGTATAAAAGTACTATATACAAATCCAGTATTAATCTCGTACTGCCTTTGGCTATGTTTCAATCTCTACTTTAGTAATGCGAGTTTGCCTTTATATTCGCTTGTATTCGCTCGTGCTTTAACTTTGGGCTCGACGCTATAGTCATCCTAGACAGGTAATTTCTGTGAGCTTTACTATAATATTGGTATTCCGGCGAGAGTATCCTAAGTTCTCAGGCTCCCTAAAGTTCCCTAGGCACACTATATCCTCCTATCAAATCGCTAGGTTTATCTACGTAGTACTATATAGTACGTAGCCTAAAGCCCTCGCACATAAGCCATCATATAAATAGTAACAGTTTTCGATGGATTTCAGCGAACAGTCATAACTAGCAATGTGAGATCTCACATCTTCTTCAGATCTGCTATACGGGGCAGCTTGTCACTGCTGTAGATATGTTCTAATGTTTCATTTCCACGGGCGTAATGGACAAAAATTGATAGGTCATAATATCCAGACGTGAATACCACATTGTCGCGGAGCTCCCGTGCCAGAACCATGGCAGCATTCGCGGTTCTATCGACGCCTTCGTCCCATGGCATAGAAGTTTGACTACGAGAACGAGAGTACGTTAGCGGTCCCTGGTACCAATTAAATAGTTGGAGACAAATATGAGCGAAATCTGATAAATGAGGATACACTCAAAAATATCCCCTGGCATCTCTTCACGGCCAGGCCGTCTCGTCCGCGGAAACAACCGCCATGGCTTGGTTCGGATATATTTCATACTGAAGTGCGTTACTGCGTCCGCCAGGGTACTCATCGAAGAAACCAGACATCTTGTCGATAATAGTGTCAAACGTTGACGCATTGTAATTCTTCAAGTTGGCGCTGTACATATCCCGAATGAAGCCTTCTTGGCAGACGGTGGTGCCGAAGCCGTTAAATGTACTGTTGATGAGTAGGTTCCAAGGGATGACACTGACTGAGGAGTAGGGAGGGTCAAAGTCAAATATTGGTGCCAGGGCTGTGCGTGCGCCACCTTCGGTTCCCACATATACCCAATTCGTCATTAGTTGCGTCTGGTTGGTGGAATTGTCGTATATAATTGTTGCAATGCCGGACATTTCGGCGGGCATGTTGCCGTTCAGTGATTCCACAGTCTTGAAAAAGTCAGAGGTCATATTCGCCGGGAATATTAAGTCGGCCGTAAAGATATTCCCATCGTTGGATAGCGGATGAAGGTTACACGGAGCCGAGGTGATGATGCCGAAGTTGGCGCGCGCGACGGATTTCCCAAGAAAATTCGAGCTGGAATCTTGCGAAGCCTCAACCAGTGTTCCGTTGGCTGAGACGATGCGCTGAAACCAGGTCGTCGATCATCAAGCCATAGACACCCGTTAATCGACCAACGCCACCGCCTAGCGTCACACCAATCACCCCTGGGCCAAAAGCGTTTCCGGTTTCTGACACATTTTAGAAATGGGGAACGGCTGATTTGGTGTAGCATTATTAAGACTTACGGAGCAGGATGCCGGCGCTGTATATGTGGCCGATGATATCGTCTATTTTCACCCCGGCTCCAACCGCGACGGTCTCGGCAGTTGTGTCAATTGAATTGAATTGGCTCAAGTCAATAGCTAGACCATCATGGATATCTCCAAGGGTAGTGACGTAACTGAGACGCCCTCCCGTCGCAAAGAATGACGTTGTTGGATGTCGCGAGGTTTACCTGGCTCGTAATTAGTTGTGTTTACCTCATAACATACTTCTTGTATCCTGATCCACTTGCACCTAAAATTTTGATGATGTCCTCTTCTATTCCTGGCCTAGTGGCGGCAGTATAAGTTGGAGGTTCAAAACGGTCCATCGCTCAGTGGCATAGTCGAACGTTGGAGAATCCGGGAACGAGACAATTGTCTGGGCCAACCATTTTCGATCAGGATGGGAGAGGAGGGACTTGAGATCAACGCGTTGAACAAGTGCAGCAGCATGTAACCCGTTGTCACAGAGTGAGATTCAGAGAGGTAGCCTGATCCATTTCGAAGCAGCCGTGGCGCAGAGTATCGGAGAAGATGATCTTGGCTGCAAGTGGTTGTTTAGTGCTATTGTAGAGTCGAGGAATATTTGATGGAAAATTCAACGATCTTTCCATTATATGTGCCCATCCCGAGATCATTTCAGCTGAAGGTGCAATCTGCTATGAGTATTGATCCTTCCTTTCGGCGGCCCATCCAACGCTCATGTCAGGCTCACCAGAAGGCGCAGTCTGCACTGAATAATGAACCTCCTCTAGAAGGCTCATCTCGAGCTCATTTTAACCGAAGTTAAGGGGCAGTCTCACCCTGCGTCGTAGGTACAAACATGGATTTACACCTCCTGAATGGCTCGGCCAGCCCAATATGGTAGCCCTTGAGTGGATGCATCATGTCGAGCCGGGGATGCATGTTATTCTTGCAGGGTTGTCGATCCCTCTGGGAGCCGACCCTAAAGATCGGGGTATTTCGGTGTTCTAGCATGTTTGTCAGACATTACCCGTAGTGCTTACCTGATACCACAGTTATCGGGACGATGAAACTCCGCGTAGTCGGGGCCTTATCTGTTTACCTATGAGCATCCAATTTTTATTGGCTTGCTGATAGACTGCATAGGTACCTGCATTATCTGTACCATGGGGGAAATGATCAATGTATTCCGTTCGTATGTCTGCCTACATACTAGTTGAGTATATTGTCAAAAGGTATCCTCTGTGAACGTCAAAGAAAGAAAAACATACTGCACTCGTACTGGGAGTTCAATCTTCCTTTGCCCCGTTCCCCTGGCTCTCAAAGTCTGAAGCTCGATTTTTTACCAGTTTGTAATCAACACTATGTCTCTCTACGAAGCCAGAGGTGTCTTTTATGCTGGTCTTGTGATCCTTATTTCAGCTATTTCCTGGCAGCTGAACAAGATTGGCCGCAGACCAAGAAACTATCCGCCAGGACCACCTACGCTGCCTCTCATCGGTAATCTGCACCAGATTCCCCAAGAGAAGCGACATCTGCAATTCGAAAAATGGGCTAGAGAGTACGGACCAATCTACTCACTCATGCTGGGCACCAAAGTCATGATTGTCCTTAACTCGGATTTGGCCATCAAGGACCTGGTAGATAATCGAGGTGCTATTTATTCCTCCAGGCCAGAGGCGTACATCGGCCAGGATATCCTAAGCGGTGGGCTAAGGGTTCTTTTTATGGTACTTAGTATTTTTACCCAGTTCCATTACATTCTCGACTAACCAACCGGCCCCAGCCGAATCACGAAGTTTGGAAAATAGCCCGGAAGTTAGCTCACCGTATTTTGAACATAGCTGCTGCACGAACATACGTACCTTACCAAGACCTTGAAAACAAAGCAATGCTACTTGGATTTCTAGAAAGTCCAGGTGACTTTATCAATCACCTTCGTCGATACACAGCATCGTTGACCACTCAGATGACCTTTGGCTATCGGATTACCAGCATATATGACCCGGTATTCAAGGAAGCATTTGACGTATGTGGGTCAAGCAAGCATACTTGAAAGACAGTAGGTTCTGACACGGTTTCCAGCTCTTCGATCGGAGTTCCGAGATGATTGGGTCACGGGTGAGTACAGAAAATACTTCATAGATGTACCCGAGGGATCTTCCAACAACCAGGACTGATCCCCCTCACATTCAGATGGCCGCGCTCCTGGACCTGGTGCCGGTATTGAGGTATTTGCCTGACTCTATCCTGCCCATAAAAAGAGAAGGAAAGAAAATACACAAACGGGAGTTGAGCCTTTTTCGACGTCTTTTTCTTCAGGCTAAACAAGGGCTACAGGATGGCACAGCCAAGGTACGGGAGCGACCCAACCCAACTGGAAGGCAACGTTGATAACGAATTATATAGCCATGCTTTTGCGTCGACCTCGTCAAGCTGCAAAAAGAGGAGGACTTCTCCGATGAGCTTGCCGCATATCTAAGTAGCTCGTTATTACAAGCTGGGTCTGAAACGACGGCAAGTATTCTGGTCGGTTTTATTCAAGCAATGGTTATTTTCCCCGAAGTTGCAAAGACAGCGCAGATGGAGCTGGACCGCGTCTGCGGTAACCGTATGCCGGATCTAAATGACGTTCACAACCTACCGTACATCCGGGCGTGTGCCAAGGAAAGTCTCCGATGGATGCCCGGATTCATGTTGGGCATTCCGCACGCTGTCACTCAAGATGACACGTACATGGGTTATCACATCCCCGAAGGCTCGATTGTAATTATGAATGTCTGGTGCGTACTTTTTGTCCAATTGTCTTGTCTCTGAAAGACCTATCTTCGCTACACTTGGGGAGATCTTCTGCTGATCATTTATTTCTTCTCGGTACAGGGCTGTACACAATGATCCCAAAAGACATCCGAACCCACGGCAGTTCGAGCCTATGCGGTACATAGACGACCACCAAACGTCCATCGACGCGGCCAACAATCCTGACGCCACCCAACGAGATCATTTCGTCTTCGGCGCAGGCAGACGCAAGTGTCAGGGCATGCACATTGCAGATCGATCATTGTTTCTGGCCATTTCACGTCTGCTCTGGGGATTTGACTTCCAGAGAGCCGTGGACAAAGAAACCGGTCAGCAAACCATCCCGGATATGGATGATTGGGCGGAGGGCGTGATGATGTTTCCGAAGCCGTTTGCGACCAAGATACAACCTAGAAGTGCGTACACGGCCGCATGTGTGAGACAAGAATGGGCGCAAATAGAAAAACTGCTTGATGGACAGAGACAGTGGAAGCTGGTTCCTGAGGGTTTGATTTGGAAGGATGAGCAGCATGTCGATTGATTAGAGCAGGGCCTTCGAGATGCATATGGAATAGACTACAGCAATTCCACCGTGGAAATCTCTCCCCTCGTCTAGCCAGCGCTCTACTCTCTTTCACTTACATTATAGCATGATTTAACTGAGAAGGTGGCTCCGGCATTTTTGGTATTTACGTCTCTCCGCAAGTATGTACATATGCCACGACACCGTGTCAGGGTAGGCCGCCAGACAACACCGGGAAGTTGGTGGCCTATTTTGAGCAGCCCTTGGGCTGCCGCAACCACTTGAGGGAGACGCTACATCTACCGCACCTGCATTAAAGAGATTGTGTACATAAAGGGTGTACCGAAAGCCAAGACTTTTTCATGTAAATAGTTTATGTTTTATTTAGGTATTGGATTGTGGGCAAATGGTCTTGTATTGAAAGTGTCATGATCTCTGGAGAGTCCTGAGAGAAGTGAAGGGCGGCCATAGGGGCCTTATATAGGTAGAAATGACTGATGCCTGCCCCACAGCCAGGACTTGTGTGGTTCAATGGGTAGAGGTCATATTGACCCATACTTCGTACGGTTTGCGGCTTTACGTTTCTCCTTTGACTTAGCAGTCTTGACGGAGTAGCCTTGAAGGTCCGACATTAGGATCTCGGACTTACTATGACCAGGCCACCCAACTTAGTCCTTCCCAAGGTCACCGAGATATCCTTCCACCGGATACATGCACATCTTTGACCTCAAGCAGGACGAACAGGATGCACGCAGCCAAGAACCCGTTTCCGGTAATGTTAATCCACCTGTGGGCAGTGTACCGTTGGACGGCAATGTCGCCACGCTGCATGATGTGCTCCTCGACCGAGTTTCCTAAATAGACCGTTGGTCTAAAGCTTCCTAAGTGTTTTATAGGTATCTGTATCCTGTGGGCTGATCCATCTTCTCTGCATCTGTGTAACCCTCTATTGATATTCCCGAGGGATGTGTCGCGCGAATGATCGAATTTACCCCTGGCGCCGCGTCCGGCATGCATCGTGCCTTGACTCTTAGCATCGGGACGGTCTGCGAAGGTGAAATTGAGCTGAGCTTGAGAAGTGGCGAGAAGCGGATTCTTCGCCCCGGAGATAGATCTATCAATCGTGGTGCCATGAAAAAGTGGCGGAACACCTCCAACGTGAAGCCTGTACGCATTCTTGCTGGAAGTGAAGCCCATCATTGTGAACGGCAAAGCCCTCGAGTTTAATGTGGGAGACCTGGTGGAAGAATACGCCGAGGACGCTGAAGACGAGGGCCCAAACAAGAAGGATTCCGGTAGATAACCGTCCGTTAACCGTTGACCAATATATAAATGCTTTATATGTTCTCTAGCTTTCTTTGTACTGCGTTGTATTGGTCCTGCTTCGGAGCATGTTGTGTTGATGGACAGAAAGTGTGGGGTTACCTAAGCACGTAGGCCACGTCTCACACGCATCACGACTGCGACAAGGGCAGAGTACATATCATCAGACCTCGGTGGTACAATATTTCGGGGTACCAATTTTTAGCGTGTCTGGTTCTACAAGGGCGTTGGCGAATTAGACTAGGCTCGGGTGAATAGTGCACCGATACCATAAATTCAACCAAGTTCCCACTTGAGAGTTGCTGTGCTTGCTGTGAACCTTTGTATTTGACAGGTTTGGATCCTTGCCACCTGCAATCTCATTCACACCAGAAGCCATGTCGTCCAGCCTACAAGCCCAGGCTTCATTCGAGGCCACATTTAGAGCCTTTTTGCGCCGGCAACGCACAGCACCCACGCCATTACCAGTCAACATACGGCTCACAGGTCAAACCGCCATCGTCACAGGTAGTAATGTAGGAATTGGCTTGGCAGCATCCCAGCAGCTGCTGAAGCTCGGGCTCTCCCATTTGGTCATGGGTGTACGCTCACAAGTCAAAGGCGACGCAGCAGCAACTCAACTACGCCAGGAATTCCCAGATTCGGTCATATCCGTCTGGATCCTCGACATGGAATCTTACGACTCAATCCACAAGTTCGTAGAGCAGTGTGCGTCTCTACCGCGCATTGACGTTGCGATCCTCAACGCCGCTGTAATGCAGCCTTCTTATAAAACCGCCGCGGCCACGGGTCACGAGCTAACGATGCAAGTCGACTATCTATCGACGGCGCTTTTGTCCATGTTGCTCCTTCCTGTCCTCAAGTCCAAGAAGATTGCTGGCGCCCCTAGACCGCCGGTGCTCAGCATCGTGGGATCCGACCTGATGTACTCGGCCAACTTGAAGACGAAGGGCCCAGTGCTGCCGCAGTTCGACAACCCAAAAAGCTTCAGCCAGATTCCCTCGTATTCAAATGCGAAGCTGCTGCTCATGTTTCTCGTCGCCAAGCTCGCCGAACTCGTCAAACCAGATGATGTCCTGATAAACATGGCTAATCCTGGCATGACCAAAGGAACATCCTTGGGTCATGAGAACCCCGTGCTCGCTATGAAGTTACTGGGTATCGCTCAGTTTTTCTTAGCAAGATCGGCGGAAATCAGTGCCTCTATATATCTCGACGCAGCTTTGACTCGAGGCGATGAGAGCCATGGGAGTTACATCAGTGATTGGGCCATTAAACCGTAAGTGAAATCTCGAGGCACCGAGTTTCTCAGACGTTTTTTCTCACAGACGCAGGTATCCAGCGATTTGGTATACGGAAGAAGGTCAAGAGCTTGGAGCAAGACTGCTGGATGAGACTATGGAGGAATTCAAGCTCGCCGGCGTCTCACTGCCTCAGATAGCGTAGAAAGCATGGAGAACATTGAAGTTTTGATCATCTATGTACGCATAATGATAGAAAGCGCATTTTAACGAATTGACACAAATAACATCTATTAAGTCATATCATCTTGACTACCTTCTAATAAAGGTTGATGACTTTATTTTCGAGGAACAAGACATCTCGCACATACACGCACACTGTTTGGCATTATGCCTCATTTAGTTCGTCGAAATGTCGGAAATTCGAAGAGAAGGCAAATTTCCATGATGAACCGGGGCCTACTTATTCATCTTGCTAGGCACATGATTTTGCTTCCTCCTGTTGAAAAACTCCAAGGCTGAATCGACACTACCAGTTGCAAGTGGGACGATATGCAAGTGTACCCCGGTCCCCGGTAACTTATGGCAGACGTGGCTGAGCTTGGTGGAAGGATCTAATATATTGGAATGCAGGCCGGGTTGGTAATCCTTCGAACTGGCAGCTCCACTTGCAAAAGCTCTGTTCGGAAGTCTTACGGATAACGGAGTAGTTCCATCTAAATAAACTGTCGAGCTGCGGGTATAATCACCCCCGGTGTGCATCCAGGTCTCACCTGCATGATGAAGTTGCAGACCGGAGTTACCACACTCACCGTGTCATGTTCTTGGTACATCAGTTGACCCGCCTTGGAACAGGAATATCGCTGTCTCACTCCTCTAGTCTCGGAGAATCTTGAGATCTTGATATGAATGCAGTGCACTTGAGAACAAGGGGAACGTCTTCCAGCCGGTAGCTGCATATCGGACCACCTATACCTAACTCATTCCCCCATTTTCTAATACAGCTGCAAATCGGTGAAATCATCTAACGTAGTCCACGGTCCAATTGCACACTTCGGCAGATTTTCGTACGCTACCACTTTGACCTGCGGTTTTTCACCACATAACTATGGTTGGTTCTTGGAATGAAAGTGATATGATTCTAGCATTACATGCGCTTCAATCTGATCCAAAATTAAGTGTACGTCGCGCTGGTCAGATCTATAACGTACCTTTTAGAACCCTTGCGTATCGACGCGACGGTAAAACCGCTCGAGCGATTACGCGATCGCTAACGCAAAAGTTGACTCCTTCCTAAGAAGAGGCAATTGTACGACATATAACCGACCTAGATTCGCGAGCATTTCCTCCCCGATTGAGTGGTGTTGAAGATATGGCCAACCGATTACTTCGAAGTCGCGACACGGGACGCGTCGGCGTCAACTGGGCCTCGAGCTTCGTAAGACGACAACCAGACCTCCGGGCGCGTTTAAATCGAAGGATCCACTATTAGAGAGTCCTCTGCGAAGACCCCGACGCGTATCGCGCGTGGTTTGACCTGGTACGGAATACAATTGCGAAATACGCGATCCAGGAGGAGGATATCTACAACTTCGACGAGACCGGTTTTGTGATGGACCAAATCTCGTCCGAAATGGTCGTGACGACTTCTGATCGGCGCGGAAGGCCTAGAGCAGCCCAGCAAGGAAATAGGGAATGGGTTACAGTTATTCAAGGCGTTGGGTCGTCCGGTTATGCCCTCCCTCCGTACATCATTTTCGCCGGCAAAACCCACCTCTCGTCATGGTACGAAAACAGCCCATTACCGCCTGATTGGGTTATCGCAGTTACTGAAAATGGCTGGAATACGAATGAGAGGCGAAGATTGGATAAAACACTTCGATAATCACACCAAGTCTCGTACGAAAGGTACTCATCGCCTATTGATCTTCGACGGTCACGAAAGCCATCACTCGACCGATTTCGAGGTATATTGCAAAGCTAACAATATCGTCACGCTTTGTATGCCTCCTCATTCGTCGCATAAGCTCCAGCCTCTTGATGTTGGTTGTTTTCGCGGGTTAAAAAGAGCGTACGGAAAAGAAATCGAAGATCTCATGCGAGCACATATAAGTCATATCTCGAAAGAAGACTTTTTACCGGCGTTTTTAAACGCGTACAACGCAACTTTCACGGTTTCAAATATGCAAGGGTGGTTTCTGAGGGGTAGGAATAGTTCCGTACGATGCAGATTATGTCATATCACAGCTCGATGTGAAATTACATACGCCAACACCTCCGGGTAGCTCGGCTGGTCTCCCCGTCCCTTGGGAATCAAAGACTCCGAAAAACCCAACCGAAGCCCAATCACAAAGCGATTATGTGAAAAATAGGATTGTACGACATCAAAATAGCTCACCAACGTCAATTTTTGCTGGAATAGATCAGATTGCGCGAGGTACAACGAAGGTTTTGCATCGGCTTGCCCTTTTAGAAGGCGAGGTCGAATGACTTCGAAAGGCAAATGAGACCTTAAGTCGACGTCGCCGTGCGAAGAAAAAACAGCTACAGAGTGGAGGGTCACTTCGTATACAAGCTGGACAGGACCTACAGTCTCAACGAGAGGTTGATGGGCAGTTACATGACGAATTTCGTCAAATTGGTGGTCGTACGAGGCGGCGAATTGCGCTACGGCGCTGTAGAATCTGCGGCGAGCCTCGACATAATGCGCGCACTTGTGGAAACGATGTAGAGACGTCTGAAGATAACGATTCTGAGTAGTTTCAATTGATGATAGGCGTTGTGGTTGAATTAACTTATACATTGTCGTATAAGGTCTGCCAAACTGTGCAATTGGACCGTGGACTACGTTACTATCAAAGCACCATAGACATAGACGCCTGCCAAAGACTACGAACCCGAGGTCACAAGAAGTCGACTACACAATGATTCAAAGCCTGTCACATTTTTACTGATCGCCACGACTCGAGAACAGAAATTCGCACTCGTCACTAGAGAAGTAATACAATATTATATTGCAATGTCGTCGAATGAAGCCATCTGCTCAAGTCGTACAGGTGTCACCGTGGTGGAGTACGGGAAGCCCTTGTGACAGAATACGCTCCTCGTGGTATCCATGCCATTACTAGTGTGCTTCCCCCGAGTCGCGCGATCGTCATCTGTCCAAGGCTGGCATTAACTTCTTTCCCCTTGATATCACCATTGAGCAGTCCGTCGTCGATCTGAAGGCGACGGTGCAGGAATTAACAGGCGGGTGTCTTGATGTTCTTGTCAACTGCGCGTGGGTGCAACCTGCAAGCCTCTGGCTCCAGGGCTCCGTTATATCCCACTTGCAGTTCACTGACTTGGTATATAATATAAATGGTATAGCTTACACTTAAATAGCTCCATTTTATCGAGTCTCGAGTGCCACGGCAATAAAGTTGCGAGATGCTTGCATATGGCTAATGCGGAATCATAACAGTAATTTCGAAGTTACAATGGTCATATCTGGAGAAGCGAGTAACGAAGTTTTGGAAGGCGACGCTGACAGAAAGCTTCAAAATCTTCACATTTACATGACAATTAATGGGCATCTACGGGGTTTTAAGCACTCCTGACACCTAGAAGTCCAAGACTATCTCAATGCACCCAGAGTGGTACCACCGTCAACAACGAGACCGCAGCCAGTGATGTAGCTAGACCTAGGACTGCACGGGAATATGACAGTATCGGCGCCTCGGTGATGAAAGTAGATACGGTATATGAATCGGAGCGCATAGATCAAAACATGAATTAGGTGTTGAGGTCTGACTCACCGTAAGCGATACTTGATCTGGCTTACATGGAACAATCAAGTACCATCCAGCAGCGGGAAATCGTGTTTGTGGGCACGTCATGTGTATTACATGAGTGATACGTGACCCCATGGGGTGTTACCCTATAGCTATATATAAGATAGATAAGAGCTATAAAAGAGCTCTGCCAGGCCAGAATAGCTGACCTGACATCCTTTCCCAATACAACAATCCACACCCCATATGCCATATGCACTCGCATCAATGAGACAGTATTGCTAAATTTGGACAGTGCAGGTTACCGTTTTGATGCCGCGACCTCTGTTCCTGCTATCTGCCTCGTACAGTTTCGAGACTTTCAAATATTTCTAGTACCGCATGAACTTATGATGTTGCATGTCGGATATCTGCTTGTCATCAGCCACTGTAGGAATTTTGTAGACGGTACATCATATTTCACCTGTTTCTGTGGGATTGAGCGCCATATGTGTGCCTGAGGTGGTGCCTAAGGCAGTGAAATCGCTTGTGTAGATAAAAAGGTCGGCACCTGCCTACCTACCTTAGATGTAACTTCTTACATGGCACTCCGAGCGGTCAATACACACATCACACTGCGCATCGAGCATCGTAACCAATACAGGATCTATACAGAGTCATCATCTGAGGGTTGAATCCCTCATGGTAGCATCTAATCGTTACTGAACGATCACTTGATTACTCTGTTGGATCCTACTTCGCAACATCAACCGCGCTCTTCACGCGCAGGTCACGGTCTGACAGCACGCAAGGCGTAGCTCAACAGACGGCAGTGTCGCTGGCATAAGAGGCGATTGATTTGGCACCAGGATTCCCACAGCATCACGAGACCTTCACGAGCAGGACACGGTCTGGCAGCACGCAAGGCGTAGCTCAGCAGACGGCAGTGTCGCTGGCGTGAGAGGCGACTGATCCGACATCAGGACAGTCAGGTAGACCACTCCACATCACCCATCGCAGAATCACATGCGCTCTTCACGCGCAGGTCACGGTCTGGCAGTACGTGAGGCGTAACTTAACAGACCACAGTGTCGCTGGCGTGAGAAGCGGTTGATCGGGCAACGGGATTGACAGAGCGGCCATACACCAATAGGACACCACAGCAACTGAAGCAGCTCCGAGGCTCACATGAACCCCACAGGCGCCTTCGAGGAGCCTGGATTGCTTAGCACCATACGAAGGTACAGCCTTCGGCCGCGCAACATGGCAGCGGCACCTTCCCCGCGGTCAACAGCGCCATCCACGGGCTCTGACTCGCAGGACCCCAAGGTATCTACCAAAACTGATCTTGACCAGATCATGGAACAAAAGGAAGCCAACATGAACCTGAGGGAAGCCGACATGAAGGCACTCCACCAAGCCGAAATAAAGCGGCTGGAAGATAAGATTGACA